TCGGCGCGGAGGCGCGCGGCGGCCGCGGGCTCCTCGCCGGGCAGGTGAGCAGCAGCAGCGGCGGCGGCGGGCAGGGCGCGCGGATCCAGGTTCGGCCTTCCCCGCTGCCCATCCGTCCCGCAGCCCGCAGACGACCGGCCGGCGGGGAGGGGGCGCAGAGCGACAGGGTAGCCAACCCCAGGGGGTGAAATTCCGGGAGATTTAGGGGGGTGGAGTCCGCAGAGGGCAGAGCTTGGGGGGGGGGAGGGACCGCATCAGGGTACAGAGCCCCCCCCCTCTCCAAAGCTACCGTTTCCTCCGGGGAAGGTGTCAGCTGGGATTCCGGGAGAACTCCAGGCCGCACCGGGAGGCTGGCAAGTCCAGTCGGTGGCGCGTGCTAGCCCTGGAGCCGCGGCTCCTGCGAGTTTGGCGTCTCCCGCGGGGGGGGGGGGCAGCTTCCCTGGAGCAAGGGAAAGCAGCGCCCCCAGCAGCCTGGGCCCCGGAGCACTTCTGCCGCCCGTCAGTGGGCAATGCCGGTCCCCCACAGACATTCAAAGTCCTGGGAGCAATGTTCCCTCTAAGCTGTGGAGTCCTGTGAGCAAAAATTCTACTTTGTGAGCTACTGGCCTTAAAGTTGTGAGCAGGTGATCTGGTTCCTGCATACATTAGTTTGCTCTGGAGCCCTCCTTCCTGAGCTAAGGCAGAAATGTGTGAGCCGGAGGCTAAAAAACAGTGAGCTAGCTCACACTTACTCAGCTTAGAGGGAACACTGCCTGGGAGCATCAGCTTTCTGGGCCGGCCGGAGTCTCTTAGGGGCCTGCCAGCAGCTTTGCTCTGTGGACTTGGCCAAGGAAGCAGACTAAAACCAGGGTCTGGAGCAGTGTTCCCTCGAAGCTGAGTCAGCGCGAGCCAGCTCACAGTGTTTTAGCCTCCGGCTCACACGTTTTCGTCTCAGCTCAGGAAGGATGGGGCTGCAGAGGAACCTAATTGATGCGGCAGCCAAATGGCTCGCTCACAACTTTAATGCCAGGAGCTCACAACAGTAGAAGTTTTGCTCACAGCGTAGAGGGAGCCTTGGTCTGGAGGCACCAGCCCAGAGTGGCACAGCCTTCTCAGAGCTTGGGAGCTTACGCAGGGGTGGTGCTTGGATGGAAGACCCCCCAAGGGAAACAGGGGAGGCTCCCATGCAGAAGAAGGCAACAGTAACCCCCCTCTGCGCTTCTCTTGCCTTGAAAATTCCGTCAGGTTTCCCACGGGGTCACCATGAGTCCGTTGTGACTCGGGGGCACACCTGACCAGCGGCAGCACCTGAAGGACACAATGTACTCCAGCAGAAGCTTCCTGGCACCGCCGGCACTCCCTTCCACAGGAAAGCTGGTGGTGGAATTCATTTGGTTCGTCTCCAAGGTGCCGCTGGACTCCCAAGGAATGCGGATGGTGAGCCAGTTGGCAGCCATGGCTTGCGGCCCGTGTGTGCGCACCCAGGAGTTATTCTCTTCGCTTTGGCTGTGACCCTCCACAGGTTACTAAAAGGTAAAGGTAAAGGTTCTCTTGCTCGAAAGCCAGTCGAGTCCGACTCTAGGGTTGCGGTGCTCATCTCTGTTTCAAAGCCGAAGAGCCAGCGCTGTCCGAAGACGTTTCCGTGGTCATGTGGCCGGCATGACTAAACACCAAGGCGCACGGAACGCTGTTCCCTTCCCACCAAAGTGGTACCTATGTATCTACTTGCAATTTCTTGCTTCCGAACTGCTAGGCTGGCAGGAGCTGGAACTAGAGATGGGAGCTCACTCCGTCATGCGGCACACTCGGGGCTCGAACTGCTGAACTACCGACCTTTCACAGCCTGCAGTTCAGCGGCTTAACCACTTGAGCCACCGTAGCTCCTTCCACAGGCTACTAACCTGTGGCAAATGCCAAAAACGTTCCCTCGGTGGCAGGCATGTCGGGGTGGGGTGGGGGTGAAATGGTATCTTCCTGTTGGTGCAACGCCTGTCGCCCACTTCTGTTTCTCCGTAAACAGGCATGGACCCGCCAAAGAGGAGAGGGACTGCAGGAATTCTCCGTTCCATTTCGACTTGTGGTTTTACTTCACCCTGCAGAATTGGTTGCTGGACTTTGGTCGCCCGATTGCCATGGTGAGTGCCGTCCAGCGTGAAGGCGTGAGGCAGAGGAACAGCTATGGAGAAAGTCGAGGGCTCCGTAGGACTGAGAATTCATTGTAGGACATTAAATTCCAAAATGGCAGCCAATGGTCGAGTTTCCCTGTGGTGGTGGCCAAAACTCACTGCACCTTAAAGGCATTTTTATCACAGCTTTGGTCACTCATGTAATCGGATACGTGTGGTAGATCTACACTTGACACGGGTCTGTGTGCGCATAACGCACACGCGCACATTCATGGAGGAGGGAGAAATGTACGCTGATATTGCTGCAACAAAGTTTGCATGCGGTGGCACCTTTAAGACCAACAAAGTTTAATTCTGGGTATAAGCTTTCGTGTGTGTTATGTAGTAGGACTGAAACTCGATCCTGTTCATCCATGGAACCCACAATTTAACAGTGTGTGTGCCATCTGACAGCAACAGTGGTTCTGTGGATCCTGGAAGTTTCTTGTTTCCCCTGGACATAAGAACATAAGAGATGCCAATGTTGGATCAGGCCAAAGGCCCATCCAGTCCAACACTCTGTATCTCACAGTGGCCAGAAATACCAGTGCCATCAGGAGGTCCACCAGTGGGGCCAGGACACTAGGAGCCCTCCCACTGTTGACCCCCCCAAGCACCAAGATGACAGAGCATCACTTGCCCCAGAGCCCCTATCTATACCTTGTGGCTCATAGCCACTGATGGACCTCTGCTCCATATGCTTATCTAATTCCCTCTTGAAGCCGTCCATGCTTGTAGCTGCCACCACTTCCTGTGGCAGTGAATTCCATGTGTTAATCACTCTTTGGGTAAAGAAGTACTTCCTTCTATCCGTTCTAACCCGACCGCTCAGCAGTTTGATGGAGTGCCCACGAGTTCTTGTCTTGTGAGAAAGGGAGAAAAGTGCCTCTTTCTCTACCTGCTCTTTCCCATGCATAATCTTATAAACCTCAATCATGACATAGAGCAGGGGCCACTGGGGGAATGGGGGAGCGGAAAGATAGCTGTGAATTTTTCCTGCATTGTGCAAGGGTTGGACTAGATGACCCTTGAGGTCCCTGCCAGACTCCGTCTTTCTTTCTTTCAGATCCTGCTTCCGCTAGAATGGTTCCCACTGAACAAGCCGAGCGCTGGAGATTATTTGCACATGGCTTACAATGTTATCACTCCCTTTCTTCTTCTGAAGGTAAAGTTTTGTTGGGTTTTGGGAGGCCCCATTGGAGGCGTAGGCCCCAGAGCGGAGTGGCCGAATCCCCTCCAATACCTTGGCATAGAGATGTGGGCGTGCCACGCTCGATAACTTTCCCTTCCCGGGTTGTGATGAGCCCAACTCCACTTGGGCGACATTAACGGAATGCGCCTCTGAACAAATGTGGGGCAACCTTTGCAGTTGCCTTACATAATATCTGGGCTGACCGCTTGGACGCTATACTGAAGGTCGGCCGCCATCTTTTAAAATCTCTTAAAATGTCTCTAATTATTGGTTTCATCAGCGTTAGCACCTTTTCGTGTTAGAATGCTTCATAAGGTTTTAAAAAGGTAAAGGTTTCCCTTGCTCGAAAGCCAGTCGAGTCCGACTCTGGGGTTGCGGTGCTCATCTCTGTTTCAAAGCCGAAGACCCACGCTGTCTGAAGACATTTACGTGGTCATGTGGCCGGCATGACTAAACACCGAGGCGCACGGAACGCTGTTACCTTCCCACCGAAGTGGTACCTATTTATCTACTTGCAATTTCTTGCTTTAGAACTGCTAGGTTGACCTTTATTAGTAAAGGTAAAGGTTCCCTTGCTCGAAATCAGTCGAGTCCGACTCTAGGGTTGCAGTGCTCATCTCCGTTTCAAAGCCGAAGACCCAGCGCTGTCTGAAGACGTTTCCATGGTCATGTGGCCAGCATGACTAAACACCAAGGCGCACGGAACGCTGGTTTTTTTGTTTTAGGACCAAAATTGTCTATTTGTGTGTTTTATTCTTTCTGCAAGCCGCCCTGAGCCGTCCCTGGCTGGGAGGGAGGGGTAGGAATCCGATAATAAATACATCAATAAAATAAAAATAAATAAACAAATGGCTGGCTCAGCACGTCCTTTAGGGCCCCCCCCCCCGAATGGATTCCATCTTTTGGAGCGGCGCTGGGGGCCGCACTGGCCACGGCTGTGCCCCAGAGATTCTTCTGGGCAAAGCCACAAAAAGCCTGGAAGGGACCCACCACTGCATTAGTTGCCTCTGACAAATCCCACTTTAAACCTCCCCGGCGAGCGAGTTCCTTTGACGTGGGGGTCAGCCACAGTCAGGGAGGTGGGAGTCACTTTAAGCTGAGGAGCCTGAATGGGTGGGGGAAGGTGCTGCAAAAACATTTTAAATAAATAAATATTATTATTATTTATTATATTTATAACCCGTCCTCCCCGCAAGAGGGCTCAGGGCGGCTCACATTGCCTGGCACAGTGTGCCAGGTTCCTATACATCAAACATTTAAAACTTAAAACACTATTAAAACATTTAAGCAATCAGCAATATACAAGTAAAGTGCACTCAGTGATTATTACCCAAGATGGCATAACATGTCATGTAGGCTCAAATGGTTACAGGCTCCTAAGCGTATTGGCTCAAACTTACTACAGCCAGCCTCCACCACAGGTATTAATAGTGGTCGTTGATGGTAATCCTAATTGAAGGCCTGGTGGAGCCTAATTGAAGGCTCCTAATAGAAGGCCTGGTGGAAGAGCTCCGTCTTGCAGGTCCTGTGGAACTGCATAAGATCCCACAAGGCCCTGATCTCCTCCGGGAGCTCGTTCCACCAGTAAGGAGCCACCACTGAGAAGGCCCTGGCTCTAGTAGCCGCGAGCCTGGAATAACCAGTCGATGTTGCGCCCCCGACCGTAGTGCTCTCTGGGGTATATACGGGGAAAGGCGGTCCCTCAGGTATGTTGGACCCTGGCCATATGTGGAAGTGGAAGAAAGACACACACACCCACCCCCTGGAAAAAAGCAAACCAATGAGATTAACTATATGCGAAGAGCAGCCAGGTCTTTCCGAGTGGCCAGGTCCCTGGGAAAAACCACGACCCTCTCTGCATTCCTGTCATGCAGACATAAGACTACCTGCTACCAGATCAGGGGACAGAACCTGGCCCTTACAAAGCAGATGTCCTGCCCTTGAGTCTATGCTTTGGGCATGGGGGAGGAGTCACTGGCGGAACAGGGTGGGTGGGAAGAAGTGGTGGGTTTCCTGCGTCATGCAGGGGTTGGACTAGATGACCCTCGAGGCCCCTTCCGGCTCTGTGTTGTTACGTATAACTATTTTAGTTCATTAACTAACTGTCTTGGGGGCGATTCCCTGTGTTGGGCCTTAGGCCTTGGCCCAGCCGCATTTGAAATATCTTTATTTCTGCAAGCAGAGTCATAAACAGCAAACCTTTGTCCCACAATAAAGCCCTATATGGCTGGGGTCCAACATACCTGAGGGACCACCTTTCCCCACATGTTCCCCTGCGAGCACTACGGTCGGGGACGCAACATCTCCTGAAGATTCCAGGCCCCAAAGAGGCCAGGCTGGCCGCTACCAGGGCCAGAGCTTTTTCAGTGGCGGCTCCTTCCTGGTGGAACGAGCTCCCAGAGGAGATCCGGGCCCTGCGGGACCTGGCGCAGTTCCGCAGGGCCTGTAAGACGGAGCTCTTCCGCCAGGCCTTCTATTAGGAGCTGCCACTATCGTACCATCATTATTAACTAGCCCTGGGAAAGGAAAACGACAGCGCCACGTGGAGCTGATAGCACTGAGTGGAGATACCATCTAAGACACGCCATCTTGATGAAAGTCTTCGTTTTAGATCATCTAGAGCACCTAACATGTTGTAATTTTGTAATAATGGTTTTTATGGTTTTAACTGTTTTATGTGTTGGCGTATGCCTATTTGTAAGCCGCCCTGAGCCTGCATTGCAGGCGGGCGGGCTATACGTTGAAATTATAAATAAATAAATAAATATAAACCTCATCCCCAAGGAAAGCGTGGAAGAATTTAAAGGTTGCAACTGCAATTGTCATGTGATCTGACAACAGCTGCTGGGAATCTTGCCAGATGCAGGCGTGGTTTGTGCATTTGGAAAAAGTAGTGGCACTGGGCAACACAGGAGCTTCCAGGTGTGTGCGTGTCCGGCGGGTTGTCTGGCTTACAAGGACCTTTGCCGGAGAGATCCCAGCTCCCAAGCTGAAGAAGTAATCGAAGGTGCACGATTTATTCCAAGTGCAGATTTGGAGCAGGGCATATCCTGGAGGCGGGGCTCGGTTTCCCTTCTGGGTCCTGAAGCTCTGCTTTCCCTTGCAGCTCATCGAGCGGTCCCCCAAGACCCTCCCCCGGTCCATGGTGTACATCACCATCATCATCTTCGTCATGGGAGCCAGCATTCACCTGGTGGGCGACTCCGTCAATCACCGGCTGATCTTCAGCGGCTATCAGCTCCACCTATCGGTCCGAGAGAACCCCATCATCAAGAGCCTCAAGCCGGAGACGCTGGTAAAGGGAGGCTGCCCGGGTCTCTCCTTCTCTCGGGGCCGTTTCTCTGCCAGCCTGTCCCTCAGGCCCGTAGCTAAAGTGGGGGCATCTTGGGGCCTGGCCCCCTGACTTCCTGCCAAGCCCCCCCCCCCGACTTCCCATCCAGCCCAGGCGCTCCCTTGGGGGTGTGTGCAGCAGGGGTGTATGCTTATTTACGGGCCTACCGTCCCTCCCCGACATTCCCGTCTTGTTCCTTTCCAGATCGATTCTTTTGAACTGCTGTACTACTACGATGAATATCTCGGTCATTCGATGTGGTAAGCCTGGTGCAGGATTCTTCCTCTTGCTACCGTTGGGTTTGGGGCCTTTTTTTAGAGAGGGTACAGACCTGTTTCCCAAGCAGTGTTTTAGCAGGGGGAGACGCAGGCCTGTGTTTGGGAAGATTTGCACAGCTTGGAGAAGACCATAAGAAAATCAGAAGAGCCCGGGCTGGATCAGACCAATGGTCCATCTAGTCCAGCATCCTGTCTCACTCAGTGGCCGGCCAGTTCCTCTGGAGGGCCAACAACAGGGCAGAGAGGTCGAGGTCTTCCCCTGAGAAGAACGTGAGAAGAGAGCCCTGCTGGATCAGACCAGTGAAGGTCCATCTAATCCAGCATCCCGTATCACGCAGTGGCCAACCAGTTCCTCTGGAGGGCCAACAATGGGGCAGAGAGAGACCGAGGACTTCCCCTGATAAGAACATCAGAACAGCCATGCTGGATCAGACCAGGGAGGGTCCATCTAGTCCAGCATCCCGTCTCACACTAACTCAGCTTAGAGGGGACACTGGTCGTATTGCATTAACGCAAGGTAAGGTTCCCAGTAGTCATGTATGGCTGCGAGAGTTGGATTATAAGGAAGGCTGAGCGCTGAAGGATAGATGCATTCGAATTATGGTGCTGGAGAAGACTCTTGAGAGTCCCTTGGACTGCAAGGAGATCAAATCAGTCAATCCTAAAAGAAATCAATACTGACTGTTCCCTGGAAGGCCAGAGAATGAAATTGAAGCTCAAATACTTTGGCCACCAAATGAGAAGGGAGCACTCACTGGAGAAGACCCTGATGCTGGGAAAGATTGAAGGTCAAAGAAGACGGGGACGGCAAAGGATGAGATGGATAGACAGTGTCATAGATGCAACAAACATGAAGCTGAGCAAACTTCAGAGGACGGTGGAAGACCGGAAGGCCTGGCGGGAGCTGGTCCATGGGGTTGCGAAGAGTCGGACTCGACTGTGCGACTGAACAACAACAACACACATTTTTGTCTTCGCTCAGGAAGGAGGGCTCCAGAGCAAACTGATTTATGCAGGAGCCGAATCGCTCGCTCACCACTGTAATGCCAGCTGCTCACAAAGCAGAATTTTTGCTCACAAGACTCCACAGCTTAGAGGGAACATTGACCTATTCATTTTTTAACTTGTTGGTTATATTTGCATGGTGGTCAGGGAAACTGACAAATGTCAGTCAGGGAAATGAAAAATAAAATTTTAGTGGCAACCCTGAAAGGGAAGAGGTGGCCTTTAAAAGGCACTCCCACTGAAGAATCGGTAAGGGGAAAAGAAGCTTGCAGGTTTGGGGTTAATGTTGAAAGTAGCTGATATTACATCTCTTTGACCAATATTTTTACAGTTGAGACTTGTGTAGTTGTAGAGTGGAACCTTACCCGGTGGGGCCTGGAGACCTGGAGACCTCTGGAGCCAGCCACCCTTTTGCTGCTGCCACCACTGCCTCTTCCCCCTGCCCCCGCCGCCACCAAAGGGGGGGAGGCACAGCTTGGCGCCCCATCCAAGGCCCAGCGCTCTAGGCGAATGCCTAGTTCGCCTAGTGGGTGAGCCAGCCCTGTCAATAACCCTTGTTAGATAAACACAGAGCATCTGTGCCGGATGCTTCCCTCTAGCCCTTCAAGTGTTTCTCGTTGGTTTGTTTTTCCAGTGGGCTAAAAGCCAAGATCTCGGAAGCAGATCCGCTTGGCTGCTTTGGGATGGGCTGAGCGCCAAGTATTGGATTTGCTTCACGGCAGGTTTCGGTCGCTGTTGGGTTTTCCCAGTACCAGTGTTACGGACTTCGACAGTCACAGGCTGGCCACACGGTCAAGCGGGCAGACGCAGGCCCCCTTCCCCCACTGAAACTGACCCTCCGTTTGAAATCTTTGTTGCTCAGTCAGCCAGTTGAAGCGCGCAGTCTTCAGCAAGGTTATGATAAAGCTCTGGGATGTGCTTGACAATGCTTGGGGTGGGGGACACACAGGGGGCACCCTGGTAAAAGCCCAGGGGAAGGAGAGAGGGAGATGCTGTACAGGCAGAAACCTGCCCTCGGTCTGATGCCACGTCTCCACACCGTGAGCAGAGAACGCCTCCTTGGACGTACTGCCGCAGCGAGAACTTTGGGGAGTCGTGCGACCCTCTCCTCCCGCTTCTCTGTTTCCTTCCGACAGGTACATCCCCTTCTTCCTCATCCTGTGCATCTATTTTTCCGGCTGCTTCATTCCCAAGAAAGAAGAGCCACAAATCCCGGCCTCCGCGTTGCTCCTGATTGGACCCAGCAGCCTCTATTACTGGTAAGCGACCCCTCTGCTGTGGAGGGCTTGGCTCCCCCGTGGATAGGTGTCAGCTCCCCCAGTTAAAACACTCTCCACAACATTTTTGGCAGTGATGCGTTGTTAGAGGTACGCTTGCTTGCAGGAACTGGTTCTTTGTCAGGACTGAAGGAAGTGCGTGAAATTCAGAGGTTTTAGGTAAAGTCCGATGCACCCCCACACCCTGTGTATACGTCAGCATTCGGCCACTAGTGTTTCTGTGACAACCCTGACAGACCTACGGCGTCTTATCTACTCCATCCTAGCAAAAGAGTCTCCGAGGCCAAATCCCGTGAGAACAGGCTGAGGGGTGCAACTTGAGGAATAATTATGGGCCCAGGGGTCATTTTGTAGAAAAAGAGGTGCAGGAGCTCATTAGCATAACTCATTAGCGTAACTTATTTGCATATGTCACACCTCCTGACATCACCGGAAGTGTGTCAGAAGGCAACACCCACCGCTCAGGCTCCACTGGACTCTTTTGGATTGCTAGCTATTGGGGGGGGGAACGTGCAGATCTGTCCTCACAGAGGAGGGAGAGCTTCTACCTGAATAAAACTTGGTTCTAAAAGTGCCACCGGACTGTTTTGGACCGGGGGGGCAGGGGACTCTGCAACTTACCTGACTGCTTCTTGCTCTGACTGAGGGCTGCTGGGAGCAGGGGGTGGGGCTTATTGCATGTGCCCACCCCCTGGGCTCTTTACTGCCGGAGTTCCACTCCTGTACGCTCCTGCAGGAAATGACCCCTGATTCTTTGTGAGACTGGTGACCCGGAAAGGGGAATGCACTAGATGCTGATCCTGGGGAGTCTGTAAGCCTGTGTACAATGGATTCTGACCTTGGGTCAGTCACAAGTTCTCTCAGAGCTGTTCTCTAATGAGCAGTTCTCGAAAGAGCTCTCTCAGCCCCACCTACCTCACAGGGTGTCTGTTGTGGGGAGGGGAAGGGAAAGGAGTTTGTAAGCTGCTCTGAGACTCCTTTGGGTAGTGAAGGTCGGGGTATAAATCCAATCTCTTATTATTATTATTATTAAGGAGGATGCTGTTGTAATGAGAGAGAAAACACCTTCACGTACCTGCTCTGACCCTCTTGCATCGCTCTTTCCCACTGCAGGTACCTCGTCACCGAAGGTCAAATTTTCATCCTCTTCATCTTCACCTTCTTTGCCATGATGGCACTGGTGATGCACCAGGAGCGGAAGGGCCTGATCCTGGACAGCAACGGCCGCTTCCTCTTCTACTCCTTCATCATCACGCTGGTCTTGATCGCCCTCTGGGTCGGCTGGCTCTGGAACGACCGGACCCTGCGGAAGAAATATCCCGGCATCATCTACATTCCGGAACCGTGGGCCTTCTACACGTTGCATCTGAGTCATTTGCACTCCCCGGTGGAAGAGAACGTTTAGCTTTTGGAAAGACCTTTTTGGGAAGACTCTCAGAGGGAGGGGGCTCGTCCGGGAGGAAGCGTCTTCGCTGCAAAGCCTGTTGTATAGGGTGGGGTTTTATATGGCAGCAGGCGAGACATTATTCCTCCCCCCCCCCCCCCCCCGCCCCCCCCCCACTAGGCATCCCCTTTCCAACTGACCACCACTCCCCCAGGCATTCCCCAGGCATTCCCCACCAGTGGGTAGCCGTGTTGATCTGAAGCAGTCGAACAGTATGAGTCCAGTGGCACCTTGAAGACCAACAAAGTTTTATTCTGGGTATGAGCTTTCAGATTTTTACGTAAAGTCCAGAATAGGATAGACCCTGTGTAATCATTTCATGTTCTGGTGTGTGTGTTTCTTTAAATGTTGAGTGTGACTGCAGTCATGTAAGGAGAGTGATAGAGGGTTGTGTGATGTGATTGGCTGATGACTGAGAGTGTGGGAGGAGAGATGTCTCTGAGGGGATTCTGTGTTCTTGAAGAGACGAGTGTGGGAGAGATGTTAAGAGAGTTCAGCCTGTGTGTCTATATGAGCAAGAGAGTTTAGCCTGTGTGGCCATATGAGCAAGAGAGTTTAGACTGAGTGTCTAAGCCCGTCAGAGTTGAGTTTTGGTGTATGAGAGACTGTGTGTGATGCCAAGCTTTGTCAGTTATATTTTCTTTCTTCAACAGCAGTTCAAAAATACCCAGAAACCTATTTTGTTCTTTTATAAATAAATCATTATTTGTTTAAACTTATCCCAGCAATCAGAACAGTCCTTCCTCAGGGCCACGTAGTCCTCTGAAGCGCCCAGACACTGGGTCATTCTACCAAAATAGAGAGATTTGGAATTTTAATTCCTGGTGGCAGCAGAAATCTACTAAGTTCAAGTACACAGAGTGTATTTTCAAGGAGAAACAGTCTCCCCAATAAGCAAGGACGTCACAGCCTGTTACACTTACTTTTCAGCAGCTCTGTTGATAGCTTTTTGCCACTTCTGAAAACTTCAACAGAAAGTCTTCTTTTTTTTTAGTCCAAGGGTAGGCAGCCCTTCCCTTTGTCCCTCCCCCCCCCTTTGGTTACAAGCTCATACCCAGAATAAAAGTTTGTTGGTCTCAAAGGTGTCACTGGACTCAGACTAGGATCTGGGAAGCCCTGCTTCGAATCCCTGTTTTGCCACTTGGTTTAACCTACCTCACAGGGTTGTTGTGAGGACACCAGGGAGGAGGGGAGAACTATGTCAGCTGCTTTAGGTCCTTATTGGGAAGAGAGAGGCAGGAGGCAAAGGAAATAAACAGAAACAAACCACCGCCCGATCTTTTGCAAGCTTACTTGGAAACAAGTCATGCTGAATTTTAGGCACGCTCTAAGTAAGCTCGCATAGAGACGCAGCCTTGGTTTTCCATGGAGTGTTTGGGTTGTAGGGAGAGTGTTTGCTCCTAGTTTTGTTCCACTGCTGAACTTTAAAAGTTGTCGTTGGCTTGAGCTCTGAGCTTCTGGAGATTCTTTGTGGTTCTTGTCCCTCCAGCCTGGAAGGGAAACTTTTCAATGGGTCAGGCATGTCTGTTAACATCTCAGAAGCCAGAGAAGAGCCCCCACAGACTTCTGTTCTACAGGTGGTGCTTGGTGCTATCGTTCCTATCTCTCCCCCCCACCCCCCCCCACCTTCCCTTTCTCCCGTGTTGGTGACAGGCAGAATAAACTATGCAAGAGAACATCAGAAGAGCCCTGCTGGATGAAACCAAGAGTCCATCTAGTCCAGCCTCCTGTCTCACACAGGGGCCAGCCAGTTCCTCTGGAGGGCCGACAACAGGGCACAGAGGCCAAGGCCTTCCCCTGAGAAGAACATCAGAAGAGCCCTGCTGGGTCAGACTAGTGAGGGTCCCTCTAGTCCAGCCTCCCATCTCACACAGTGGCCAGCCAGTTCCTCTGGAGGGCCAGGAATAGGGCACAGAGGCCGAGGCCTTCCCCTGATAAGAACCTCAGAAGAGCCCTGCTGGATCAGACCAGTGAGGGTCCATCTAGTCCTGTTTCATACAGTGGCCAACCAGTTCTTCTGGAGGTCCAACAACAAGTCATGGAGGCCAAGGCCTTCATAAGAACATCAGAAAAGCCCTGCTAGATTAGACCAGGGGACCTTCTAGTCCAGCATTCCGCCTCACACAGGGGCCAAACAGTTCCTCTGGATGGCCAACAATAGGGCATAGAAAACCGAGGCCTTCCCTCTGATAAGAACATCAGAAGAGCCCTGCTGGTTCAGACCAGTGAAGGTCCCTCTAGTCCAGCATCCTGTCTGACACAGGGGCCAACCAGTTCCTCTGGAGGGCCAACAACAGGGCAGAGAGGCCGAGGCCTTCCCCTGAGAAGAACCTCAGAAGAGCCCTGCTGGTTAAGACTAGTGAGGGTCTATCTAGTCCAGCATCCTGTCTCACACAGGGGCCAACTAGTTCCTCTGGACGGCCAACAACGGGCCATAGAGGCTGAGGTCTCTCCCTGGTGTTGCCTCCCAGCTCTGGGATTCAGAGGCTTAGTGCCTCTGAATGTGGAGGTTCCCCTCAGTTAGCATGGCTAGTAGTCATTGATGGACTTACCCTCCATGCAAAGATGGGCTTCTTTGGCCTAGTTTGAAGCTTGGTGCAGATTTTTACGTAAAGTCCAGAATCGATAGGCCCTGTCACACATACTTTTCAGCCACTCTGTTGATAGCTTTTTGCCACTTTGAATACACACACACACACCCCAGATGTCAAGGGCTTTTGCCACTGCGTGACACAGAGTGTTGGATTGAATGGGCCATTGGCCTGATCCAACATTGGCTTCTCTTATGTTCTTATGGATAAACATGTGGAGCAGAGGTCCATCAGTGGCTCTTAGCCACAAGGTATAGATAAGGAACTCCCGGTCTGAGGCAAGAAATGCTCTGTATTCTTGGTGCTTGGGGGGGGCAACAGTGGGAGGGCTTCTAGTGTCCTGGCCCCACTGCTGGACCTCCTGATGGCCCCTGGTATTTTTGCCCACTGTGTGACAGAGTGTTGGACTGGATAGGCCACTGGCCTGATCCAACAGTGGCTTCTCTGATGTTCTTACGTTCTTCTCTAAAGGCATTGATTTAGCTCCTGCAAACACGTTCTTTGCACATTAGACAACGTGTGCCATGGAGTTAGCATCCTCTTCCACTGAAACCTCTGTTTGCACATGATCGATACTTTTAGCGGAAAAGGAAAAGCATAGACTGTTAAGCGTGCACAGAGCTCATTCATAAGATCCGAGCCATAGTTGCTTTTTCATCCAAGCAGCAGCCCCGTAACTCCATGAGTAAACAACAGAGACAGCCGCAGTAAATGGAGGAAGAGCAGGAAGGGTGTGGCTCAGTGGTGGAGCATCTGCTTGGCACGCAGAAGGTCCCAGGTTCAATCCCCGACATCTCCAGTTAAAAGGACCAGGCAGGAGGTGATGGGAAAGACCTCCACCTGAGACCCTGGAGAACTGTAGAGAGGGTCTGTGGCTCAGTGGCAGAGCATCTGCTTGGCATTCAGGAGGTCCCAGGTTCAATCCCCGTCATCTCCAGTTAAAAGGACCAGGCAGGAGGTGATGGGAAAGACCTTTCTCTGCCTGAGATCCTGGAGAGCTGTAAAGAGGGGCTGTGGCTCAGTGGCAGAGCCTCTGCTTGGCACGCAGGAGGTCCCAGGCTCGATCCCCGGCATCTCCACTTGAAAATACCAGGCGGTAAGTGATGTGAGAGACCTCCTAGTTTGGTGTCGTGGTTAGGAGCGCGTACTCTAATCTGGGAGAACCGTGTTGGATTCCCCCACTCCTCCACGTGCAGCTGCCGGTGTGACCTTGGGTCAGGCACAAGTTCTCTCAGGAGCAGTTGTCGAAAGAGCTCTCTCAGTCCCCCCTACCTTGCAGGGTGCCTGTTGTGGGGAAAGGAGGGAAAGGGAGAGGAGACTAAGCCACTCTGAGACTCCCAAGTAAATCCAATCTCTTCTTTGTGCTGAGACCCTGGAGAGCCGCTGCTTGTCTGAGTAGGCAATACTGACCTTGATGGACGGAGAAGGCAGCTCCATGGCTGACAGACCTTCCTGTCATTTCTGACTGAGACCCTCCTCTCAAAAGAGAGCTGCAGTCATGAGCCGTGGCCGGCTGCGGGCCAGAAAAGCATCATTTCTACAAGCTGGGGAAAAGAAGGGCTCCCTTGCTCCGTGGCTGGTCTTCTTTCGGTTTGCCAGAGTCCGTCCAGTGCTTTCGGCCTTCCTTCTCTCAGAATACTCAGGTAGAAAACAGTTCACTCAAAAGGGAGGGAAAGGGCATTTCTTTGGGGGGGGGGGATAACTGGATTTCCTTCCCTCCCCAGACACACATAGAATTCCTTCACCGACTGCTACCTCACCCGGCCTTTGTACATCGTGTGCCTTTCCCGAGTGTGAGCCAAACCCTTCAAATAAAAGTTGGCTGAAAAAATGTCGCTCTGGCCTGGAACGTTTCCTTGTCAATGTAGGCAGCCCCTGCTGGCGCAAGCCGTCTCTTCCCTGCTCCATGTAGCAGAACTTGGTGGCCTACTCATAGCTTAAAAGGTAAAGGTTCCCTTGCTCGAAAGCCAGTCGAATCCGACCCTAGGGTTGCGGTGCTCATCTCCGTTTCAAAGCCGAAGGGCCAGCGCTGTCCGAAGACGTTTCCGTGGTCATGTGGCCGGCATGACTAAACACCAAGGCGCATGGAACGCTATTACCTTCCCACCGAAGCGGTACCTATTTATCTACTTGCAATTTCTCGCTTTCGAACTGCTAGGCTGGCAGGAGCTGGAACTAGAGACGGGAGCTCACTCCGTCATGTGGCACAATTGGGTCTCGAACTGCTGAACTACCGACCTTCCACAGCCTGCAGTTCAGCGTCTTAACCACTTGAGTTGGTGGAATCCCACAATATAGCTTCTTTTGTCAAAAAGTAGGATTTGCTGTTGAGCAGCAACTGACTCCTGGCGACTCCGCCCTTGGGGCATTCCAAGCAAGAGAGGGACAGAGGTGGGTTGCCCTTGTCTGCCTCTGCGTAGCAACCCTGGACTTCCTTGGTGGTCTCCCACCCGAGTCTTGAGAGGCCAACGCTGCCCAGCTCCAAAGTCCTGACAAGCCCAGGGTAAGCCGAGCTGTTCAAGCTGCTGCTACTGATTTATTTCACTCGACCGTCAACGTGGGTTTGAATCCCAACAGGTACAGACCGTTCCTCGTGGCTAAATCCAGAGGGGGGGCATATGGAGAAGCAGCCCCTGAACGCTAGAGGTTCCTCGGGCCTAGTCAGGAAATGGGGGCTGGTGGGATGAATACTTTGAGTCTGACGTCCTTGCCAGCGGCAGGGACGCACAAGATACCCTTTTTTAGTTTACTGCCTTTGTACTACGTTTTAACCTTAGTTATACATAATCAGGGGTCATTTCGTAGAAAAAGAGGTGCAGGAGCTCATTAGCATAACTCATTAGTATAACTTATTTGCATAGGCCACACCCTCTGACATCACCGGAAGTGTGTCAGAAGGCAACACCCACTGCTCAGGGTCCACTGGACTCTTTTGGATTGCTAGCTATTGGGGGGTGGGGTGAACGTGCAGATCTGTCCTCGCAGAGGAGGGAGAGCTTGTACCTGAATAAAACTTGGTCTTAAAGGTGCCACGGGACTGTTTTGGCCCGGGGGGGGGGGGGCTCTGCAACTTACCTGGCTGCTTCTTGCTCTGACTGAGGGCTGCTGGGAGCAGGGGGCGGGGCTTGTTGCATGTGCCCCGCCCCCTGGGCTCCTTACTGCCGGAGCTCCACTCCCTGTGCGCTCCTGCAGGAAATGACCCCTGTCATAATACAGAAATACTAGAAGCACGTAAGTGTAGCAGGGCAGATTTGACACAAGGAAGCTTAGCAGAACAAGGCATGTAAGGACAGACTCGGGCTTGACGAGGAACAAAAGGTAAATAGGGGTTTTCAAGCCAGAACGGCATGCTGGAAAATTCAGTCGCAGGAAACATAACTGTTAAACCATTATGTTTAATGTACTCCTGTGTGGCTTCTGCACTTAGCTCTCGAGAGCCACTGTGGTGTAGTGGTTAGGAGCGTGGACTCTAATCTGGGTGAACCGGGTTTGATTCTCCACTCCTCCTCCACATGCAGCTGCTGGGGTGACCTTGGGTCAGTCACAAGTTCTTTCAGAGCTGTTCTCTCAAGGGCAGTCCCCGGGAGAGCTCTCTCAGCCCCACCTACCTCACAGGGTGTCTTGTTGTGGGGAGGGGAAGGGAAAGGAGATTGTAAGGTGCTCTGAGACTCCTTTGGGTAGTGAAGGGCGGGGTATAAATCCAATTTCCTCTCCTCCTCCGGGTCTGCAAATGAACACACCCCATTTTGTTGACCTTTCAACACAGTAGAACAGGTCCCTGATGTTATACCGTGAAGCATGGTGTCCCCCGGCACGTTTCGTGGTACCCGTCAAGTGTTTTAAGAAAGCAGGGCCTTGCGTCCAACAAGACTTCTGGTTGGCTGTGTAGATTAAAAAGGCATCCAATTATAAACAGAACTTCTGCTGAAAATGTAGGAGGAGTTACTATGAGAATCATGCATAACATTTGCTCCCTTGTACTTTGAGGTTGGCTCTGCCACCTGCAACAGCCGTTTCTGCTGTTTTGCCCACCACCCTGTGTCACAATTCCAAAGGTGTCCAGAGGCTCAAAGAGGTTGGGGAGCCAACACTCCCTTCTAAGCTGCGGAGTCTTGTGAGCAGAAATTCTTCTCTGTGAGCCACTGGCATTGAAGTTGTGAGCGAGCGATTTGGCTACTGCATAAATTAGTTTGCTCTGGAGCCCTCCTTCCTGAGCTGAGACAAAAATGTGTGAGCCGGAGGCTAAAAACCTGTGAGCTGGCTCACACTGACTCAGCTTAGAGGGAACACTGTGGGGGGGCCTGCATTAGGAGCAATGCTCTCTCTAAAGCTGTGGAGTCCTGTGAGCAAAAGTTCTACTTTCTGAGCGACTGGCATCAAAGTCGTGAGCGAGCGATTTGGCTGCCGCATGAATTAGCTTGCTCTGGAGCCCTCCTTCCTGAGCGAAGACAAAAATCTGTGAGCCGGAGGCTAAAAATCTGTGAGTTGGCTCACCCTAACTCAGCTTAGAGGGAACGCTGATTAGGAGGTGCCTCAGAATCCATTCAGGATCATCAAGTATTTTGCCAGCTAAGGAATTCCAGGGGGGTGGGTCTAGAAAGGCAAATGCTGGCCTCTGGCTGGGTATGTTTGCACTCTTATATTAGTTCTTGTAGACCCCTTGTAAGCCGCCCTGAGCCCGCTTGCGGGGAGGGTGGGGTATAAATGTTTAAATAAATAAATAAATTACCAGGACAAGATGGAGGGTTTTACTAAAAAGCAGTTCCCGCAGTCCACCTGCTGTTTGGCGGGCAGCCAGTCCCGCCACCGAAACCAGATCCCTGCCAGGGATCCTTTCGCATCTACATCACCCAAGGGTGTTTTATTACACCTGCCGCTACTCCCCCACCCTTCCCGACTGGTGGACTTCACCCCCTCCACTGAAGCGAAAGTCGGAAGCTGAAGAGGACAGGAGCGGGCTGGCCAAGAAACTGCAGGGCCCCCCAGAGAAGCAGATAAAAGCCAGTAATGGTGAAGAAAGGAGAGTTTTGGTTTCTGTGCATGTGAATGGGGGAGGGGGGGTGTCTTTCTCTGCAGAGCGCCTTCATTTAACCTCGTGTCTTGTCTTGTGTGTGCGTTGCAGGCCAAATTCCTCTCCCAGGATCAAATAAATGGTATGTACCTTTTTTTAAAAAAAGGCAGCCAAGTATATTTTAATGAATCTGGTGGTGTTTTTTTAACTGATCCCGCTCTTACAATCAGTTAAATGTGCATACGTGAATATGTCATGTAAGATGTGCCTCCAATTTTGTAAGTAAAATTTCTTTCTCTTGTTACCCTTGGAGTCAGGTCATCTTTGTAACTGGTTTGAACAGCATTTTCCCCCTTAACCGGGAAAACGTGGCGAATCGGGGATATTGTCAAAAAGCTTCTGTGCTTCCAAGGCAAATGATGCATTATTTTTTTTTACACAACCCAAGAGAGAGAAGACACTGCCAGCCTAAGAGAACAGGATGGTGTTTTAATCGGGAAGGTGAAATTTTAAGGAATTCTGATGAGTTTTATTAGTTTTAGAAATAGTCATGGCTTTGATCATTGATCATCTGTCCTTAAGCTTGGGGAATCACAGGTGCTTATGGAGGAGGAGGAGGAGGAGAGTGGATTTATACCTCACCCCTAACACGCGAAGATTTATACCTCACCCTTCACTACCCAAAGGAGTCTCAGAGCGGCTTATAAACTCCTTTCCCTTCTCCTCCCCACAACAGACACCCTGTGAGGCAGGTGGGGCTGAGAGAGCTCTTTCCAGAACTGTCTTTAAGAGAACAGCTCTGAAAGAACTTGTGACTGACCCAAGGTCACACCAGTGGCTGCATGTGGAGGAGTGGGGAACCAAACCCGGTTCTCCGAGATTAGAGTCCGTGCTCCTAACCACTACACCAAACTGGCAGTTCTCTTCCTTGTAAACGTTAACCATACTGGCACCTGGAGGCAGACTACCCGGAAGCACTCAGAGGAAATTAGGGTTGCCAGCTCCAGGTTGGGAAATTCCTGGAGATTTGTGAGGTGGAATCTGGGGAGGGTGGGGTTTGTGGAGGGGAGGGAGGTCAGTGTAGGGGTGCCACCCCCCAGGTGGGAACTGGGGGGGGGGCCGGTGGCCCTACTTCAGTGGGTTACAATTCCATAGGAGTCCACTTTTCAAAGCAGCCATTTTCCTTAGAATTATCTCTGCCATCTAGAGATCAGTTCTGATCCCAGGAGATCTTCAGCCATCACCTGGGGGTTGGCAACTCCAGAGAAGGGCCCTGGCCTCACAAGCACATGGGCTGTTCATTCCGGTTCAGAGGAAACAACAATTGTATTTATTGGGTTAATGTAAAAAAATATATATCATTTACCTTGGAAGCACCGAAGCTTTTTTTCACAGTATCCCCACCGATTCGCCACCGTTTTCCCGGTTAAGGGGGAAATGCTGTTCAAACCAATCACAAAGACGACCTGACTCCCATGGTAACAAGAGAAAGAAATGTTACTTACAAAAATAGAAGCAGATCTTACACGGCGTATTCATGTCGGTACATTTAACTTCTTGTGAACAGATTAACTTCAAAAAGGTTAACTTGCTACAGCTCCTAGCCCAGGTAAGAGAGAGAAGAAGAGAAGTCCTGTACAATGCTCCCTCTAAGCTGTGGAGTCTTGTGAGCGAAAATTCTACTTTGCGAGCTACTGCCATTAAAGCTGTGAGTGAGCGATTGGGCTACTGCATAAATTAGTCTGCTCTGGAGCAGTGTTCCCTCTAAGCTGAGTTGGTGTGAGCCAGCTCACTGTTTTTTAGCCTCTGGCTCAGACATTTTTGTCTTAGCTCAGGAAGGATGTGGCTCCAGTGCAGGCTAATTTATACAGCAGCCAAATCACTGGCGCACAACTTTAATGCCAGTAGCTTGCAAAGCAGAATTTTTGCTCACAAGACTCTACAGCTTAGAGGGAACATGGAACCATCCCTTCCTGAGCTAAGACAAAAATGTGTGAGCCGGGGGCTAAAAAACTATGAGCTGGCTCACACTAACTCAACTTAGAGGGAACACTAGTCCTACATAAGATGAAAACAGAAGGCAAGCAATGGGCCACAGAGGCTCAACATCTAACCGATGGGGTGTGCGTGTGTTGGCAACTGCAGACTGAGTACCAAGCAATATGACAGCTAGTCAAAGAGATCAGAATGATCTAAACTGACAGTTGCACGATCACATGATGTACTGGTTGCAGCATCTGCTCAGTGATTGGCTATGTGTATGTATATATTCTGTACAGTTCTTACAGTCTGAAGCCTGTGTGGTTACTTGGTGCCTGGCAAAGCATTTTGTTGAAGTGTAAGCCGAATACTTACGGAGCTGCGGTGGCTCAAGTGGTTAAGACGCTGAACTGCAGGCTGTGGAAGGTCGGTAGTTCAGCAGTTCGAGACCCGAGTGTGCCGCATGACGGAGTGAGCTCCCGTCTCTGGGTCCGGCTGCTGCCAACCTAGCAGTTCAAAAGCAAGACATTGCAAGTAGATAAATAGGGACCACTTCGGTGGGAAGGTAACAGCGTTCCGTGCGCCTCGGTGTTTAGTCATGCCGGCCACATGACCACGGAAACGTCTTCGGACAGCGCTGGCTCTTCGGCTTTGAAACGGAGATGAGCACTGCAACCCTAGAGTCAGATTCGACTGGCTTTCAAGCAAGGGAACCTTTACCTTTAAGCTGAATGCTAAGCCTTGTTGGACTGTGTAAATAGTGTAAATAAATTGTATATAGCTCTGCACAACAGCAGTGTGGGTAGCACTTCTTTACTGCAAACACCGTCGGGGGGGGGGCAACTGCCAAAGTGTGCCCAGATCCTCTTGCATGCAGAATTACAATACCCAATGCAACGGTATTCAGGTGCTGCACTGAAACTGGGGTCCTCCTTCTCTCCCCGGCCAGAGTTCAAGGAATGTTTTTCCCTCTACGATAAGAAGCGCAAAGGCAAGATCAAGGCAAGCGACCTCATCACCGTCATGCGTTGCTTGGGGGCCAGCCCAACCCCAGGCGAGGTGGCCAAACACCTTCAGGCGCAGAAAGTGGGTAAGTGAAAGCAGGGGTCATTTCGTAGAAAAAGAGGTGCAAGAGCTCATTAGCATAACTCATTAGCATAACTCGTTTGCATATGCCACACCCCTGGCATCACCGGAAGTGTGTCAGAAGGCAACACCCATCGCTCAGGCGCCACTGGACTGTTTTGGATTGCTAGCTATGGGGGGGGGGGATGTGCAGACCTGCCCTCGCAGAAGAGGGAGAGCTTATACCTGAATAAAACTTGGTCTTAAAGGTGCCACTGGACTGTTTTGGACTGGGGGCCGGGAGGGGGGGCTCTGCAACTTACCTGGCTGCTTCTTGCTCTGACTGAGGGCTGCTGGGAGCAGTGGGTGGGGCTTGTTGCATGTGCCCGCCCCCTGGGCTCTTTACTGCCGGAGCTCCGCTCCTGTGCGCTCCTGCAGGAAATGACCCGAGTGAAAGGAAAGGAACGGGCTGCTGCTCATTGTCTTGAGTGCTGCTGAGCATGAGCTCCCAGCCCCAGCAGACCCCACACCTGCCCCCGATGAAGCCGCAGAGTCCATCGGGAGTATCCTTGCTGCCCGTCCCAGCAACAGCTGAGGAACAATGATGCACAGCAGACAGCCCCCCTGACTCGCCTCCGCAGGTGGTAGATTTGCGGAGCTGGCTCCATCAGGACTTAGCATCCCGGTGGCGGGAGGCGCACCTGCGCAGCAGGCGGTCCCTTAGCCCTGAGTTCTAGCAGAAGCTGGGACACATGCGCTGAAGGCTAATTGACAGCAGCCCTTGAGGGGTATTTAGCTCCCCACTCGATGCTGGTTCCTTGTGCCAGCAACTAGTCAATTTGACGACGCTTCTGCACCCACCTCGTCCGTGTTCCCAGTTCCCGTCTCGTGCTGTGAACTCTCGGCTCCTCGACCCCAGCTTCGACGACTACGCTTTCGGTTTGTGTGTTGGACTCTGTTATTCGGCTCCTGTTTTACTACCTCTTGGCTCTGACCTCGGACTGGACCTGTCTCTCTCGCTCTGCCCGGACTCCAGCCCGTGACACTCATAGCCGCCCTCAGCAAAGGCGATCCTGGTAACCCACTCTCTTGCTGGTACATAGGGCAGCTAAGTAGAACCTCCATGTTTAGAAGCAGCGTACCTTTGAGCACCAGTGGCTTGGAAAGAATCCATTTGTGGGCCTCTTGGTAGCCTTAGGCAGCCTTCAGTTTTAGACTGGATCACTGCCTGCTTTTCCCCTGGAAAACCCAATCCTGGCTTTGTTCCAGTTCATTGGAGTATATTTATAGAAGTCCAGGAGGCATCTAGACAGGGAACACCCCTTCAGAAGCCTGGCTCAGAAACTCCTGATTTTTGGCAAGTGGACCTAGCCTCAACGGGTGGCAGTTTGTTTCACGCACTCTGAAAACGCCACAAGTGCTTATGCAGCAGGGGTCCCCAAACACCCTGAGCCTGTGGGCACCTTTGGAATTCCAACACAGCATGGCGAGTGCAGTTGCGAAATGGCTGCCACAAAATGGCGGCCGCAGGAGGTGGAGCCAGCCACAAAATGGCTGCCACAGCTTACCTTCAGTCACACAGTGGAGATCCTTGTGTTCTGGTGGCAGCTAGCTACTGCCAAAGCAATGCTTTTAAAAATCTGCACGGTCAATCAAATCTGGAATAGCCAATCAGAAGCCTTGCTGAGAAAGAGCCCCACCTGGCCCACCTATTTGCTATTCCGCCTCAAGTTTCTGAGCGCATCCTATTCTTCCATTTTGCATTCCCTCCCACTTTCATTTCTGGTTTGCGTCAGGGCTTTCTCTCGTTTCTGCGGCGATCTGCATTCAGACCACTTCCAGCACACCGTTGCCCCACAGTTACCAAAACTCCTTTTGCTGCGACTCTTTGTTCTCATCTGCTTTCAAATTGCTAATCCCATCTAAAGTGGAATTGTTTCTGTGGGTAATTAAGTGCTGCCCCCTGCCCGCCCCTGTTTCCACCTCTCTCTCGCTCTCTTGAGGTGGACAAAACTTCATGGTAAAAGGGGCTTCTACCATAGAATTTTTGCCCAAATACCGGCACACCCAGTGTAATCCGTGACGGACTGGCATTACTTCTGGTGCGTGCCAGAAGTGATGACGCTGGGCGAGGCCTCGCTCTGCTGTCAGTGAGTGCCCCCCACCCGCCAGTTGTCAGGGGGCACCTGACGACTCTGGCCCTTTCTGCACCCGTATTTTGCCTCGGTTTCTGAGTGGATCCTGTTTTTCCATTCTGCATTCCCTCCTACTTTCACTTCCGGTTCGTGTCGGGGCTTTTTCTCGTTTCTGCATTTGCTTTACGGGACTCTGCATTCAGACCGCTTCCAGCACACTGTTGCCCCGCAGTTACCAAAACTCCTTTCGCTGCGATTCTTTGTTCTCATCCTCTTTCAAATCGCTAATCCTCTCTAAAGTAGAATGGTTTCTGTGGGTATTTAAGCGCTGCCTACTTCCCTCCCCTGTTTCTGCCTCTCTCTCTTTAGGTGGACGCTCCCTCCCCATTCTGTTTTCTTTCCCTCCTTCTCCAAAGGCAAAAGAGGACGTGTCCTCCCGTTCAGGCAAACTTTTTAAAAGCCAGAGATAGAGCATAAGAGGGAATCAGTAAATATAAAGGGCGATGGGATTCCCTGCTCCCAGATGTGTCAGTCTTGCATGTGTGGGCCTGGGATTCCCCCTCCCCTCCCTTTCCTTTTTGCAGAATCAGGGAGGGAGGGGTTGAGTCTGCAGTTAAACATTTAGAATGATGTTCGCCTTTCTCTTCACCTTAGACAAAGCAGCCAGTTTGCTCGAAAAATGTGGGTTTTGCTTGTCGATGCAGAGCGCATACAGAATGCACAATTAAATAAACCGGGGGGGGGGGGAAGGACAGTGCAGGGGGAATGCGTGCGACTGCAAAGTCAACCCTTAAGGATGGACTCCTCGGATTCCCTGGAGCAAGCTGTCAGTGCAGAAGGGGCCAGCTACGGCACCCACAATCACCATATTGGGGACCCCTGGCTCACAGGCTCAACAAGGTGTGTGTGGGGGGGGGCTGGACTCAGATTAGCCCTTGCTCGGAGATCCAGCAGTGCAGCTCCTGGGTTTGTCCAGGGTATAACAGCAGCCCTTCTTGACAGGACCCTGGAAGCTGATTCTGTCCCCTTCTGCTTCCAGGCAACAACGCAGAGCTGGATTTCTCCACTTTCCTGTCCATCATGCACAAGCAAACGCAGCAGGAGGACCCCGAGAATGAAATCCTGCTCGCCATGCTGATGACGGACGAGCAGAAGACCGGCTTCATCACCGTGGCGGAGCTGAAGGCCAAGCTGACCGGCCTGGGAGAAAAGCTGTCCGGGGAAGAGGGTGAGAGGCTACCCCCACCCCCACCCCGGTGCTTGGTGGCTGGAGTAGGGTTGCCAGCTGTGTTCCCTCTAAGCTGAGTTAGTGTGAGCCAGCTCACAGCTTTTTAGCCCCTGGCTCACACATTTTCGTCCCAGCTCAGAAAGGGATGGCTCCAGAGCAAACTAATTTACGCAGTAGCCAAATCACTCGCTCACAACTTTAATGCCAGTAGCTCACAAAGTAGAATTTTTGCTCACAAGACTCCACAGCTTAGAGGGAACATTGGTTGCCAGGTCCGTGTTAGAAAATACCTGGAGACTTTGGGGGTGGATCTGGGAGAGGGTGGGGTTTGGGGAGGGGAGGGGCCTCAGCATGGTACAAGGCCAGAGAGTCCACCCTCCAAAGCAGCCATTTTCTCCAGCGGAACCAATCTCTGTCAGCTGGAGATCAGTTGTCAAAGCGGGAGATGTCCAGGCCCCACCTGGAGGCTACAAACAATAACCAAAACAACCGTGATGTTATATTATGAAAACATATTTAGGCACTGTTCTGCAGTGAATCGAGTTTCTTCATCACTCGCTTGTTGTTTGGTGTAGATGGCTTTTAAGGTAAAGGTAAAGGTCTCCCTCGCTTGAAAGCCAGTCGAGTCCGACTCTAGGGATGCGGTGCTCATCTCCATTTCAAAGCCGAAGACACAGCGCTGTCCAAAGACGTTTCCGTGGTCATGTGGCCGGCATGACTAGACGCCGAGGCGCACGGAACGCTGCTACCTCCATCATATAAAATTGTTCTCCACATCGCCATGCCAACAGTTGTTCTAACATAAAGTTCCAGCTGACATTATGAAACACTTTTTCCGCATCTAAAAAGACCAATGCCATCTGCTTCTCTGGATGAGCTTCAAAATACTCAAGTACATTTAGTATTATCCGTACATTATTTCTGAGTGTGCTGCGTGAATAACATTAGTTTACACGTCACTGAAAAAGCTGTTACGTGAAACGGTATTATATGCCATTCCCGTCCTGTGTAGGCATATATATTTTCATAATGTGATGAAGAAACTCGATTCACTGCAGAACTGTGCCTAAATATATTTTCATAATATAACATCACAGTCGTTTCGGTTATTGTTTGCATCCTTCCCGTGATCTCTCTGTTGTTTCTACACCTCACCTGGAGGCAGAGGGTGTAATTTGGGCGCAGAGTTTGAAGGTGAGATTGCAGCTTCTGGCCTGGCCCACTCTCCAGTGTTTGCCTCTGGTGAAACCAGAAGAGTCTTGTCTGTTTGTCAACGCAAGCAGAAAAAGCTTCTCCAAAGCACTCTCCCCTCCCTGCTTCCGGACTTGATATTCCCAGTATCCCGTTTCCCCTCGAGAGAGGAAGAAGCTGCAGTCTCATGCGGGATTTGGACAATTTACTCCACATAACTTGTATTTAGGGTGTTCCCACAGATAAGCTGCCTTCCCCTTTCCAAAATGGTGCCCCTCCGAAGGGGAAGGGCGCTTCCAGCCACTGGTTCCACTTCCAGGGATCTTTTCCCTTGGTAAGGAGATCAGGAGGAGCAGGGCAGGGTTACCAACTGGCCTGGAGAAATACTATCCTGTCCAATGCTCCCTCTAAGCTGTGGAGCCCTGAGAGCAAAAATTCTACTTTGTGAGCTCCTGGCGTTAAAGCTGTGAGCAAGCAATTTGGCTGCTGCCTAAATTAGTTTGTTCTGGAGCCGTCCTTCCCGAGCCAAGATAAAAATGTGAGCCGGAGGCTAAAAAAACTGTGAGCTGGCTCACATTAGCTCAGCTTAGAGGGAATACTGATCCTGTCCCTTTGATGTGTGGAAGTGGGACCTGAAACTTTTGCATGGCGTGTGGGTAGATAGCACCACCTGGTAAGCAACATCCTAGTAAGCCTCCTTGCCTTGAATGCAGAAGGTCCCCAGTTCAATCCCCAGCACTGCCAGTTAGAAGGAGCAGGCAGCAGGTGATGGGGAAGGCCTCTCTGCCCGAGACCCTGGAGAGCCGCTGCCAGACACAGTAGACAGTCCTGAGACGCAGGTTTAAAATCCACACGGCAACAGTTCCGATGCCCTCTACAAATCAGGGGGGATGGAAGTGGTTCCATTAGTGTGCAAATGTCTTGCAGTGAACAACCTTCTGAAGGAAGCCAAGGTCGGACACAACGGGCTCGTCAAGTACGAAGACCTGGTCAAGTCCGTCACCTCTCCTGTCACGGTGGACCACTGAGGGCCGGATCGGGGCGCGCAGAGTTCCCCCCCCTTCAGCCGCCTCTGGAATCTTTGCCGTTTGCTTACCTTGAAGAATAAATCCCGAGGCTGCCTGTTTAGAGTCGGAGTTATTCTTCACGCAGCCCAAGTAAAAAAAATCTCGAGTAGAACGACTTCTTGGTTTGCAGAAGGTCCCAGGTTCAACCCCCAGCCTCTCCAAGTTGAGGGGATCAGAAAGTAGGTGATGTGAAAGATCTGGGCTTGAGACCCTGGAGAGACACAGCCGGAGTGGGCAATACTGACCTTAACGGGCAAGGGTCTGTTTCAGTATAAGTAGACAGTACCAAGGGTCCGCGTTGGCTCAGAGGTTAAGACGCTGAGCTGGAGGCCGGAAGGTCTGTAGTTCCGCAGTTCGAGACCCGAGTGCCGCATGACGGAGTGAGCTCCCGTCTCTGGTCCCAGCTCCTGCCAGCCTAGCAGTTCGAAAGCAAGAAACTGCAAGTAGATAGATAGGTACCACTTTGGTGGGAAGGTAACGGCGTTCCGTGCGCCTCGACGTTCAGTTATGCCAGCCACATGACCACGGAAACGTCTTCGGACAGCGCTGGCTCTTTGGCTTGGAATCGGAGATGAGCAACCCCCCCCCCAGTCAGTTTGGTGTCGTGGTTAAGTGCACGGACTCTAATCTGGGAGAACTGGGTTTGATTCCCCACTCCTCCATTTGCACCTGGCTGGATGACCTCGGGCAAGCCGTAGCTCTGATAAGAGCTGTTCTTGAAAAAGAGCAGTTTCTGTCAGAGCTCTCTCAGCCCCACCTACCTCACAGGGTGTCTGTTGTGGGGAAGGGAAGGGAAAGGAATTTGTAAGCCGCTCTGAGACTCCAAGTGAAGGGCGGGGTATAAATCCAATCTCTTCTTCTTTTTCTTCTTCCCAGAGTCAGATACAACTGGCTTTCGAGCAAGGGATAGACAGTACTGACCTTAATGTATTCATCTGTTATATATTCAATGATCAAATTCTACTGGGCAGCAATATCAGGTCAAACAAACCGAATGCAGGACCAAGATTGATTTCAAGGTTGTCAGAGTTGGGAGGGTCTAGAAAATGAAATGCTTCCTTCAAGCCAAGGCTGTTACCCCAAGGTTTTGAAAGAAACACGACAGAATTTGCCACTTGCACGTAGGTGCAGAACACGCTATGAGGTGTGCAGCTTGTGATTGTACTTGAGCGGCCGTTCACCACCACTGGTTTCTAAGCCCCCATCAACTCCTAACAACAGACTTGTCTAACTCGTGCCACACCGAAGCAAGGAAAGCCAACCAGCCACGGAACTGCCACCTCTAGGAAGGCGGGAAGAGGTGGACCTAGGCCTCATCCACAGGGCCAGTTTGAGAGGCAGTTTGGTGCAGTGGTTCAGAGCGGTGGACTCTAACCTGGGAGAACCAGGTTTGATTCTCCACTCCTCCACATGCAGCCAGATGGGTGATCTTGGGCCAGTCACCGTTCTTTCAGAGCTGTTCTCTTAAGAGGAGTTCTCTAAGAGCTCTCTCAGCCCCACCTGCCTCACAGGGTGTCTGTCTGTTGTGGGGAGAGGAAGGGAAGGCGATTGTAAGCCGCTCTGAGACGCCGAGTGAAGGGCAGGCTACAAATCCAATCTCTTCTTCTTCAGACCTGCTTGAAGCCCCCCTGTGGCAGAAACGGCAGTGAAGGGAGTCCCTCTTCTCTTCGGAGTTCACAGTTATTACAGGTGGATGGCCCAGGCTAGTCGAATGAGCTCTCGGAAGCTAAGCAGGGCTAGCCGTGGTTAGTATTGGATTGGAGACCACCAAGGAAGCGTAGGGTTGCTACGAAGAGGCAGGCGATAGCTAATCACCCGTTAGATTCTTTCCTTGAAAACCCCGTGAAGCGTCACCACAAGCTGGCTGCGACTTGACTGCCCTTCCGGTCACGGTTCAAGCCCAGGCTAACCCTCTCTCAGAAGCTAAACAAGGTTGCTACGCAGAGGCAGGCAATGGCAAACCACCTCTGGACGTCTCTTGCCTTAAAAGACCCATGAGGGGTTGCCGGAACTTGGCTGCAACTTGAGGGCACTTTCTACCACCATGCAATTACTAGCAGCCTGAACTCCTCTTGCACTGGGTCGCCCGAGCCACCCTGACCTGTGGAAAAGAACAAGCGTCCAGTAGCACCTTAAAAAGGTAAAGATTCCCTTGCTCGAAAGCCAGTCGAATCCAACTCTAGAGTTGCGGTGCTCATCTCCGTTTCAAAGCCGAAGAGCCAGCGCTGTCCGAAGACATTTCCGTGGTCATGTGGCCGGCATGACTAAAAACCAAGGCGCACGGAACGCTGTTACCTTCCCACCGAAGAGGTACCTATTTATCTACTTGCAATTTCTTGCTTTCAAATTGCTCGGTTGGCAGGAGCTGGAACTAGAGACGGGAGCTCACTCCGGCATGCGGCCCCCGGGTCTCGAACTGCGGAACTACCGACCTTCCATAGCCTGCAGTTCAGCGTCTTAAGCACTTGAGCACCTTAAAGGCTAACAAAATCCATAGTAAGGTATGAGGTTTCACGAGTCATCTTCAGAGTCGGGAGAAGCGAGCCGTGAGTCACAAAAGCTCCTCCCGGGCCACAAATTGTGTTAGTCTCTAAGGCGCTCCTGGACTCTTGCTCTTTTCTACTGCTGCAGATACATTAGCATGCGTGACCCATCTCGATCTATCTGAAGAAGTGAGCCGTGACTCACAAAAGCTCATCCCTGGCCACAAATGTTGTTATTCTTTAAGGTGCTCCTGGACTCTGGCTCTTTTCTACTGTCACATTCTAGCTGTATCAGAAGAAGCGAGCCGTGACTCACACAAGCTCCTCCCCTGCCACTAATTGTGTGAGTCTTTGAGGTGCTCCTGGACTCTGGCTCTTTTCTCCAGCTACAGGCAGACTAACATGGCTGCCCAAGTGAGCAGTCAGTGACTCCCCAGAAGGTCCTCCGCTGCCACCAATATTGTTAGTCTTTCAGGTACTCCTGGACTCTTACTTTTCTACTGCTCCAGACAGACACGGGCTGCGGTCACACGGGGCATTAGCCACGCCAGAGAGATGGAAGATAGGCGGATTTTCCGGGCACGATCACAGCGCCACATCTGGGAAGCGTAGAGCTCCTGTGGCGAACCCGAGGCTTCCCGCCTATCTTCGGGGTAAAAAACTAGTACCTCCAAAGTACTAGTTTCCGGAAACCGCGGGGCAAGGGCGGGCGTCTGACCACGTTTCCGGTGGCATCCGGCGTCCGCCCATGTCCCGTCACAAAAAGGTGTTTTTTCCTCCCAAGTCTCCACGGGATGCGCACAAGCACCCAACGGAGCGTGCGAACACTTGGGTTAAAAAACAAAACCCCGCCGATCCGCTTCTTTGCCGCGCCGCAGGAGTGCCGTATGATCGGACACTCCCCCCCAACCACGGGACGTTGGCAGGACGTTTCATCCCGCTGCCGCGCAGTAGTTCACCCCGGGGCAAACAGCCATGCAAACCCCCCCGCGCGATATCCGGCCCGTGTGACCGGGGCCTAACATGGACAGCAGTCTTGATCCAACACCCTCACCTGGATCACCCAGCCTAGCCCAATCCGGCCAGCTCTTGGGAGCTAAGCGGGACAGAGGCCCTGGGTAGTGGTCAGATGGGAGACCGCCAAGGAAGTCCGGGGTCACCATGCAGAGGCAGGCAATGAGAAACGGCCTGTGAGTGTCTCTTGCCTCGAAAGCCCTGCGGGTCTCCGCAAAGTCAGCGGCGATGTGACGGCACTTTTGAACACCACCAGCATTCTTCTAACATGAGTGCCTACCCATGCTCCCTCTACGCTGTGGAGTCTTGTGAGCAGAAATTCTACTTGGTGAGCTGCTGGCATTAAAGTTGCGAGCCAGCGATTTGTCTGCTGCATAAATCAGTTTGCTCTGGAGCCCTCCTTCCTGAGCCAGTTTGGTGTAGTGGTTAAGTGTGCAGACTCTAATCTGGGAGAACCGGGTTTGATTCCCCCACTCCTCCACTTGCACCTGCTGGTGTGACCTTGGGTCAGTCACAAGCTCTGGCACAGCTGTCCTTGAAAGGGCAGTTTCTGCCAGAGCTCTCTCAGCCCCACCCATCTCACAGGGTGTCTGTTGTGGGGAGGGGAAGGGAAAGGAGTTTGTAAGCCGCTCTGAGACTCCAAGTGAAGGGCGGTGTATAAATCCAATCTCTTCTTCTTCTAAGACAAAAATCTGTGAGCTGGAGGCTAAAAAACTGTGAGCTGGCTCACAGTAACTCAGCTTAGAGGGAACACTGTACCCACAGACCCCGCCTGCTATAGAAGAGCAAATCATGCCTTTCAGCAATGCTTGCTTCAGAAGAGACAATGTAATAATGCTTTTTATTACATCTAAAGATGTTTTACATAAACAGGTAACATTCATTAGGGTGAACCATTTTTTTTCCAATGCATGTAATAAATATTTTCACTTGGTACTTTTATACAAACTGACATTGATCTACTATACATTTCTTTTAAAAGCCACTTTTAAAAACTTGTTTGGCATGCTGTAGGTAAGAGAAAAGTTTTAAGGCAATGAATCACAGATTTATGTTTATGGAATAACTTCTTTTTTTAGTTTTCTGTTTATATACACATTTGTTTTCCCTTTTTTTGTTAATTAGAACAATTAACAGCAGCACACAGCGGGGCCTCTCGGTAGAAATCTTAAGCTCTCGACAGAAATAAGAACGCAAGGAGAAATGATCCCTTAAAAAAAAAAAAGCATTATGAAAAACGTTGAAATGTTTAATGCAGAGAAAAAGATAACCACCCTAAAAGAGAAGAAAAGGCAAACTCATTCAATGGAAGGTCTATCAGCAGTAACATTCTTCAGAGGATTATTAAAGGGGTCCATGGTTTGGGACTTGGGGTGCAGGTATGCGCTTTCACAAAAACACTGCTAGACTGTGCAACAACTGGTTTGCGTTTCAGCAAGGTATTAATTTTGGTTTTGCTTTTAGTTATTTTTAAAACTAGGTATCTAGTAATGCCCACAGAAGTGACTGGAAAAACAACAACAACATAATGCTACCCCTGCTATACAAGTAATCTCGCATCTGTGGGTATACGTACCACACCTATGCAAACGATTGTACAAAATACAGACACACATACAAGCAACACACACACACACACACACACACTCTCCCGTTAGTAATTAAGGACTCCCAAAAAGTGGCCAAATGAGGAAATCCCAAAATATGTCCACACAGAAACAAACCTGGCAGATTATGTCCAAAGTACACACTTTTCTCCCAAGTGCTTTTTTTTTTTTAAAGCAATTTAAAGAAGTTAAAAGGGATTTCTGGTGAAACCAGAACAGAGTATTTTTGCAGAGCAGTGTTTGCGACTGTTCCTGGCGGCAGAGATGGCTCCAGCTACAAGATCGTGTGGCACCCTGAGCAACTATACTGTGCCTCCACGGAGCCTGAGAAATGGAGCACAGCACACCTTGAAATGAACTTAGGAGGAGACACGTGGACACTAACTGGTTACACCTTAGCTTTAAGGGCTCTTGCGGCAGGGGGTGTCCCATTCCGATTGATCTGATGTCTTGCAAATACACCCTCTGATAGTGACAGTATTGATGAGGGAAAGCGTGAGAATGTAGACTAACTGTTGCATATCTCACAGAACTGTCGGCTATCTAGCCAGCTTCAAAAGCTCACCCTTGGTTTGGATAAGGCCCCAAAGTCGCAAAAGTTATCTGAACGACAGTTGGTGCCAGTAAAAAACAACAAAAAAGCCCAAACTCTCAACGGCTGGAGCTCAGTGTGCAGTTACACACACTTACTCTGCAATACAGTTAATGGATCTTATACGCACTCGGTCACAGCCCAAAGTGTGTCATCCCCTGTGGGCCTCATTCTGTCATGGGAAACGACGACGCCAATATCTGGATCTTACCGCAGATTTAGCATGACAAGAAACTATACAGCTTTCAGTAGAAGCCTCCAAACAAAGCCTCTTGTGTTCACCTTGAGCTGGGCAGAAATAGCAGATATGAATCAAGCCTCGGATATGATGGGAACGGTTCTACCAGTTCTCATTCAACAACAGCACTGCTGACACACGCACACTTTTGCTTTTCTGTGTTTCCACCGGCCCTTCAAATTGACCAATACGTGGGTTTGCGCGCCCAATGAAGTTCTGTATTATTTTTTGTGCCAGTTATGTTTGCTTTTGAAAAAATAAGTTTTGGGTCCGCACCAAGCTAGCCTGAACTCAGAAAGGCTTTCCTGTTCTCTACCCTTTTATTTAGATTTTACTGACATTTAATAAATTATAAACTGGCCAGTGGCAAAGCACCAGCCAGACATGAATGGAATACACATGCATCACAGACACACACGCACACACCAATCTATAAATACATATATACACACACATGTACATATGAACAAACATTTTCAAAATGCAACTCAGCTTTTAAGTAGCAAAAGGGATACATTTACAAAAAAAACACACTGAAACAGGTATGCAAACTCTCAATTTCTTGAGAAACTGAACGTTTGGAGATAAAAGTAGGTTACCGATGAAAAGTTCTGATGCAAGACAGCTATTTTTTAAAAAAGAAGACAGACCACCTTTTCCGGCTATGGTTCAAAGGACTCTCTCTGACACTGTTTGGATCCAAACGGGTGGGGCAAAAAGACTGCCTGGTTTCTCCCCGGCCCCAATCCAGTTCTGATCTGTTTGTAAACCCAGAATTTTAAAACCTAGCTATTTAAAAAAAAAAATTCACATTGGAGAGCAAGTGTGCACTCCAGCGAGGGCTTTGGGATACATCAAAATTGCTCTTTTACATCCCCCTTTTTTCTTATTTTCATTGGAAAAAATCCCTTTAAAAAAAAAAGGAAAGAATTTCCTCTGCATTTGCAGGATTCATTATTTAGCAAGAAAGGGACAGTTTAAATAATCAGCCACTTTGAACAGATGCTTTTTTAAACCATGCATATTTTAAAGTAGGAAAGCCCCCCCGCAAACTTTAAGGGGAAACCAATAACAGCTTCACAGCTCAACAGTAAAATAAAGAAAACCGCGGATGCATTCACAAATGTCAAAGCCAGGCACAGTGGAAAGAACTGCCACTCGTCGGAAAACATTTCTATATTCCACAAGAATCAAAGCTAGAATGGGCAGGACTTTTCAAATCATAATTTTTAAAAAAGGAGAGTGGCAACTAGTGCTGCCCAGCTCTAGGCATGCTTTGCTTACTGAAAAGTTAAGTCCCCCTGACTTTAAAAGGGACTTTCACTCAAACAAAAGTGCACAGGATCGGACCCTGAGGCTCCAAGATGCTTCGGAAAGAACCTGAATGTGCTACTGATGAGAATGATCAAAACAAAATATGATGATTTAAAATCACGTTATTTCCTTTTGATTTTGGTTCTTGGCTTATTCTGATCCATCACAATAAAACAAACAAACAAAATACCCTGAAAGAATTTAACCAATTTTCTAAAAACCCCAGAGTAGGAAGCGACTTCGTTTAACCACCTTTGGAAGTGAATCTTTTATATAAAAAAGTTGAAAACTCAGAGGAAAGGTTCGTCTTATTAAGAGGTCTGACCTAGGAAAAGAACCAGATACAAAATCTAAAAGGAATGGAGTCCAATGAACAACAAAAAAAAAGCCCCTGGAAGGTTCTGAGCTGACTTTCAGAACTAGGAAACAAACAGTCCAGCAGACTGCTGGGGGTGGGTGGGGGTGGGGGCGATTTATATAAATGGAAGAATTCAATTTGCGCTTAAATTACAGCAGAGACGAGGGAACAGCCGATCAACAGGCACAAGGCTCATTCTTTCTGACGAGGCTCGTGCGGGGAAAACAATCCCCGACAGATTGCGCCCTAAGGGGGAAGCGGTTCCTTCTCCAATTGCAGGGGCCATCTGCTTGCTTCCGAACGGGGGAAAAAATCCCCCTACAGCTCCCGAAACTTCAAAAGCCACTCCACTTCTTTTCCGTTAGCATCGCTGTGAAGAAAATAAAAGGGTTATGCGGTTAAAGGTCAAAACTTTCAAAAGGAAATCGGCACTCCGGACAAACAGGAAGGTTGTAAAATCTTCGGTATCCAAAAATCTAGCTTGGGAGTTTCTGGTGCTGTGGTTTTTTTTTGTTTGTTTTACCAGTCAAACCATCTTCTGTTTATATACAAAAGTACAACTGAAAATATAGTTTTGTTCTCTGTACATGTCTTAATATTCTTTTCACCCTACAAAAAGGAAAAAAGCTCCATCTGCATTTCTAAACAAAAATAAGGTAAAACCAAGCCCCCAAATCTCTTTCCTCTGGCAAGTCCAGAGCCGTCTCGACAGAACTCAGTCCAAAGAAATAATGTCCGGGATGACCCCAAAGAGCGACGCGGGATCCGTGCTGCTCCGGTTGGCCACGGGGTGGCCGTGGTTCTCTCGGAGGCTGTTGGAGGACACGAGGCTGCTGTTGCTGCCGCTGTTGCTGCCGTTCGTGGCCGGGAGCGTGGCGCTCCCGCCGGCATTTAGCTGATCCAGAAACATCTGGGATGAAGTGTAGGGGAAGAAACGGGAGTGTAAGAGTTCTTGGTCGTCGGAGGCAGAGACGGCTGCGGCCGCAGCAGCTAGAAGCGAAGTGCTGTAATGCTGGGATGGGAAGGGAAAGACAGGCAGCGGTGAATAGACTGCAGAGCGGTCACTGACGACTATCACGTGCTACGGACACACAGACAAGCCCGATTCGGAGAGCGCTCGAGTGTGCTGAAGGGTCATCTAGTTCCCCCCTCCCACTGACTTGCAAGCACGCGCACTGTACGGAGAAGGGCACCTGATGGTTAACAGCCGATTCTGATAACCCAGATGGCACTCAACAGAGAAGCATCTAAGCCTCTGGAACATGAGAGAACAACCAGTGGTGTTGCCCTTGTCCCAAAGGGGCTGCCCTTGTCCAAAATCCGGAAGCTGCAGGTGGTGCGGAATTGCAGCGGCCAGGCAGCTGTTGGGTCTCCCCATGCAGGAGCACATCCAGCCTGCGCGAAAAGCATTGCACTGGCTGCCCAGAGCATACCGGATTCGGTTCAAGGTGCCGGTTCTTACCTTTAAAGCCCTGTACGGTTGGGGGCCTAGATACCTAAGGGACCGCCTTTCCCCGCAATGTTCCCCAGAGAGTGCTACGATCGGGGTCCCAAAACCGGCTGGCCCTTCCGGGCCCCAGAGAAGTCAGGCTGGTTGCGACGAGGGCCAGGGCCTTCTCAGTGGCGGCTCTGTACTGGTGGAATGAGCTCCCGGAAGACATCAGGGCCCTGCGGGACCTTTTATGGTTCCGCAGGGCCTGTAAGACGGAGCTCTTCCGCCAGGCCTTCGACTAGGGAGCCGCACCCCATAAACCGAAGCCCTGGCCCCAATATGAACATCATCATGACCAGCCTGCATTCGCTGATACAATCCATACTAGGACGTTAGACGACGGCACGATTTGTTGGATGTCGCCAATGCTCGCCCTCACTTTCCAATTGGTACTAGCGCTTTATGTACAGCGCTTTATGTACCGTTTTATTTTCTATTTACGGTGATTTTATTCAACTTCTTGTCTTATCTGCTTAATTATCTCTGTGTTAGCCGCCCTGAGCCTGCCTCGGTAGGGACGGCGGGATATAAATTTAAATAAATAATGTGTGCGCGCGCACCAGACACAGAGTTTACGACAATGAGATCAGCAGCTTTCTATGGTTACAGACTGGGAAAGGACAGTTGAGTCCCACAGAGAACTGAGAGAATTATGGTTTCAGAAGGTCACAAACTAAGGGGAGAAAGAGGAGCCCATGCTAGATAAAACCCACATCACAGGCTTCTCCGGCCGAAAGAGACACTTTTACGCTTTAACCACGTGCCGGAACCCAGTCTTTCGACAGTATCTTTGTAACGTCATGTGAACTGCCAACAATTTCTTCATCTCCCCGGCCATGAACATCTATGCCGGAATAAGTTATTCTAATAATATGACTTGTTCCATTTAATTATTTGCCCCTCACCACCAAGCACTTACCTGATTGTCTCCGGACAAGAAAGGAAAGAAGTCCAATCCTGTGAAAAGCAACATTTTGACAAACAGTTAATTGTCTCGGTCACAATATCTCCCAAACCTCCCCCCCCCATCAGACAAAGCTTTAACTGGAGCAGGCTGCATTTGAGGGCCTGATCCAGCCCTAACTTCGGGGTGTGAGTGGCAGCAGCCATTCCAAAGGAGCTTTCACCGTAAACGGGGGCTTTTATTTTTAATAGATAGATGTTTTGGGCAACCGATCAGTTACTTCGGGAGGGGGAAGGGAACGACAGACGGAACCAAAGAACCAAGAACCAAACGGTAACGGCAACCTGTAAACCCCACAGCAAGTTTGCAACTATGACACTCCCTACTTGTCCCTGGTTTTCATACTGCTGCCGGGGTGTGTGTGTGTGTGTGTGTGTCTGCTAGTAACACCAAAGCAGAGTCTCAAAGAGACAAGAAGAAGAAGAAGGAGATTGGGTTTATACCCCGCCCTTTCACTACCCAAAGGAGTCTCAGAGCGGCCTACAAGCTCCTTTCCCTTCCCCTCCCCACAACAGACACCCTGTGAGGTAGGGAGGGCTGAGAGAGCCCTGACAGAAACGGCTCTTTTTCAAGAACAGCTCTGAGAGAACTTGTAACTGACCCAAGGTCACCCAGCTGGCTGCATGTGGAGGAGTGGGGAATCAAACCCGGTTCTCCCAGATTAGAGTCCGCGCACTTCACCACTACACCAAAATGACCGCCTCCATTGGCAGCTACAGCCACAACGCACCAGGGTGTCCCCAGTTGCCTGCTTCCACCCTAGGGATACACCTTTTTCTCCAAGTCTGCAATTCCAAGCAATGAAAGGGTTGGCAGACAAAGAGTTAAGCAGCGCCATCCCCCAAACACAGAGACAAATACACCTTACTATTCCCCCACTCGAAACATGAAAATCCCCCATAACTGCTTGTTCTTTCAGACACAAACAGTAAGATTAGAGTCCAGTAGCACCTTACAGACCAGCAAAATTTCGAGACTTAAAGCGCCCTTTGTCAGATACTTCATCAAGTATCTGATAAGGGGGACTGTGATTAAGAACACAAGAACATAAGAGAAGCCACTGTTGGATCAGGCCCATCCAGTCCAGCACTCACACAGGGGCCAGAAATATCAGGTGCCATCAGGAGGTCCACCAGCGGGGCCAGGACACCAGAAGCCCTCCCACTCTTGCCCCCCCAACACCCAAGAATACAGGGCATCCCTTGCCCCAGATCAAGAGTTCCTATCTATAAGAACATTAGAGAAGCCACTGTTGGATCAGGCCAGTGGCCCATCCAGTCCAGCACTCACACAGGGGCTAAAAATGCTAGGTGCCATCAGGAGGTCCACTGGTGGGGCCAGGACACTAGAAGCCCTCCCACTGTTGCGCCCCCCCCCCCAGCACCAGGAATACAGAGCATCCCTTGCCCCAGACCGAGAGTTCCTATAAGAACATAAGAAAGAAGCCAATGTTGGATCAGGCCAATGGCCCATCCAGTCCGACACTCTGAGTCACACAGGGGCCAAAAACACCAGGGGCCATCAGGAGGTCCAGCAGTGGGGCCAGGACACTAGAAGCCCTCCCACTGTTGCCCCAAGCACCAAGAATACAGAGCATCCCTTTCCCCAGACTGAGAGTTCCTATAAGAACATAAGAGAAGTCAGTGTTGGATCAGGCCAGTGGCCCATCCAGCCCAACACTCTGTGTCACACAGTGGCCAGAAAATACCAGGGGCCATCAGGAGGTCCATCGGTGGGGCCAGGACACTAGAAGCCCTCCCACTCTTCCCCCCCCCCTCCGAGCACCAAGAATACAGAGCATCACCTGCCCCAGACTGAGAGTTCCTATCTATACCTTGTGGCTAATAGCCACGGATGGACCTCTGCTCCAGATGTTTATCCAGTTCCCTCTTGAAGCTGTCCGTGCTTGTAGCCGCCGGCTCCACCACCTCTTGAATCTCCTACCCCAAAAATCTTGTTGGTCCCTAAGGAGCCTGCTTCGGCGGGGAGGGCAGGGTAGAAATTAAGTTAAATTAATGAACTAATATTGGAGTCCAGCGCAGCCTGTTCCACTGCAGACCAACACGGCTGGCCTCTGAAACAGACACAAAAACGCACAACGAGCTGTTGGGGGGAAAGACCTCCACAGCCAACTGCCCGGACTTCCAACTGGATTTCCAACGGCTGGATTTTGCCAACCGCTCTAGAGACGGAGGGCGGCAGGAGCGAGACCTCCGCCGGGCCGGGTCCGGCCTCAGGACCAAGCAGCTCTGCTTGTGGCATCGTGCGCGGCATGAATGAGTGAGAGCCGGGAGCCCACCTTGGAGGTCATAAGGCATGGGCGTCATGTGGAACGGGTGCCTGTACTCTTGGATCAGCGACGTGTTGATGTAGCTGGTGTCCACCGCCGGGAGGCTGGGAGTTCTCGAAACAGGAGACGCTTGGTGCGGGAGACTCAGAAGGCTAAGAGGAAGGAAAACAGTCTTTTCAGAGTCCGAGTTCCAAAGCCCAAAGGTGTCTGGGGAGGGATCAGGCTGCATTCTCATCTGAAGTACTGTTGCCTTCCCCGTGTCCCCGGACACCAACTACGGTCATCGGGCAGCTCTCTGCTGGCGCCCCCTCCCCCCCACACTCAGGGTGGCTTGTCTGGCATCGACCAGAATCAGGGCCTTTCCCACTGTGGCTCTGGCTCTGTGGAAGAGGTGGGGGGTCCCTCCTGGGAGATCTTCAGGAGGTGGGGGAGGGAGAAGGGATTTGGGGCTTGCTATTTCATCTTTAGGGGCCGCGGTGGCTCAGAGGTTAAGACGCCGAGCTGCAGACCGGGAGGTCGGCCGTTCGAGACCCGAGTGCCGCGCGACGGAGTGAGCTCCCGTCTCTGGCCCCAGCTCCTGCCAACCTAGCAGTTCGAAAGCAAGAAACTGCAAGTAGATAAATAGGTGGGAAGGAAACAGCATTCCGTGCACCTCGGCGTTTAGCCGTGCCGGCCACATGACCATGGAGAAGTCTTCGAAGAGTGCTGGCTCTTCGGTTTGGAAACAGAGATGAGCACCGCCCCCTAGAGTTGGATTTGACTGGCTTTCAAGCAAGGGAATCCTTTACCTTATTTCATCTTTAGTTTTAGCTGGGGATGTTTTAAGGTATTATTGCAAGCCATCTGGAACCAAGAGGAAAAGGCGGGTGCAAATGTTTGAATAAATCAACCATACAGGTGTTCAAGGCAACAGATCTCCCATCAAAGCCTTTTCCAAAAGGACGCCTCTTTCGCGTCAAGCTCAGCGGCCAGGGTTAGCAGGTATCTGGGTTTTGACACAAGCATCACAAACGCTTCCTCAACCTTCTTGACATTTTTCACCACAGACTGTGAACTGCACCTCCTGCTGCCCCCAATTCGACTCCCCACATTTCCCGCTGCAGGCAAAAAACTCAGGAGGGAGCAATTCCCCTCTTTGCGGCCAGCCACACAGCTGGTCGGTATAAAAGCTACAAATGCTTCTCTCTTCCAGCGCCTCAGAGGAGAGCCTGAAAGGGACAATGGAAACCCTCCCCCAACACACACACAACACACTTTATGTCAACATTCTTCAACTGTACCTCGGTGTTCCCTCTAAGCTGAGTGAGTGTGAGCTAGCTCGCAGTTTTTTAGCCTCCGGCTCACACATTTTTGTCTGGGCTCAGGACGGATGGCTCCAGAGCAAGCTAATTTATGTAGCAGCCAAATGGCTTGCTCACAACTATAATGCCAGTAGCTCACAAAGTAGAATTTTTGCTCACAACACTCTGCAGATTAGAGGGAACATTGCTCATGATTCCATCTCTACCACTGGAGTGGGGTGGATTTCACCTGGAGGCAATTTCTATTTGCCAGAGATAAGCAGGTTAGTGGCCCGCTGCAAGCCTCCCCTCTCTCTTTTATGCCCTTCTCTGCAATCACTGTCTCATTAAGAGGCTGGAGAGCATTCCTAAAGGCTGTGGGTTCGACTCTCGCACATCCCCAGCTGGCATGACACAGTGGCGACAGGCTGGCTCTCCACGAACAGGAAGCCAGAACCAAAGGCAGAGGCAACCCTCCCTTGAGCACCCACACCAGGAAAGACACAAGGTCAAAACAATCTAAAAATGGTTCTTGAAGCAGGGAGCTTCCATGCCACATTATTTGCAAAGCGAGGAAGATGTTTATTATGTAAAGGGGGAGCGGGGCGGGGGGGGGGCAGAGATGGAGATTGGATTTATACCCCATGGCCCTTCACTACCTGAAGGAGTCTCAGAGTGGCTTACAATCTCCTTTCCCTCCCCGCAACAGACACCCTGGAAGGTCAGTGGGGCTGAGAGAGCTCTGACTGAGAACTGCCTGTGAGAGAGCAGCTCTGAGAGAACTTGTGACTGACCCAAGGCCACAGCAGCAGCTACGTGTGGAGGAGTGGGGAATCAAACCCGGTTCTCCCAGATTAGAGTCCGCGCACTTCACCACGACACCAAATCAACTACACTTTGGTGAACTTGTCCGCTTACTGCCAGCTTCAGGTGTGTCGTCTACACTCAACTGAACTGTCTTTGATTCTTACCAAAAGAGGGTTTAGTAAGTATTAACTTTTCCCATAAGAGCTCCATTTATCACAGGAAAAAGCCCCCCCCCCCTCGCCCGGGCTTTGACTCCCCAGTGCTGCACTTAGCAGCCCATGAACTGTCAAGAGTGCAGCGGCCAACTTCAGAGACGCGTCACACACGTGGCGGCCACAATCCCAACACCGCTCCGGCTTCCTCCGCTTCCTCACCTCTTGTTGTTAATGGGGGACACGGGGGACAGGGAGGGGCAACTCCTCTTGACCGACGGCTCCTCCTCCTCCTCGTCCGACGAGCTGTCGATGGTTAAGTCAATCACCTCGACCTTCTTGTTTTTGCCCGACTGATGATGCGAAGACACTTGATGGTCCACGGAGGAACTTAAGCAGCCTGGAAAAGGGAGGAGTCGGGCTGTGACATTCCTTTTTTAAAATTTATTTAAAGTTTTATTTCCCTCTCCTAAAAAGGAGAGAATTTCAGTTTACTTAGAAAAATAGGGAGGGAATATAGAGGGATAAAGAAAAGAGTTGAGTGATGTTAAGTATTAGGAAATTAAACTTTTCAAATTTAAAGTTAAAGTCAAAGTTTTTTCTGTGAATAGGTGATCTTCTTTTTCTTCTTTAGTTTTCAAAAAAAAATATTATTTACATGGGACTTATATACCGCCCATAACCCCTAACGGGTCTCAGAGCGGTTTACAGGGGCGTTCTTACGAACTTGTTAGCCCTATCTAAGGCCACATACCGAAGGGGTGGGGATTCCCTACCAGCACCCTGTGATAGGTCCGCTGCGTTCTTCTGGCTGCTTGGCAGCTCTCCCTCTTTTTCGGCGGCTCTCTTTTCTCCGGCGATTTTTCTCCACTAGTCGGCTGCTTCTTTCCTTTTGGTGGGACTGTCTACCCGGCGCCTGTCCTCGTGTCTGCTCAGCCTCGGCTCTGTCCTAGCTGGCTCCGCCGCGCTTTACAGTCCACGTCATCAGACGCCGACGCCAGTCTCCACCGCAATCTTCCGACGCCAGGGATCGCTCGATCGATGTTCTTCTTGCCGAGTGCCATCTCGGCTTCGCCGCCGCCGCCGCCATTGATGTTTCTCGCCGAACGCAGCTGCGGCCACCACAAACCTCTTTTTTGTTACAGAGGCAGGTGCCCCCCACCCTTCTAAGGGTGGGTACCCATTTGCCTACTCGCATGATGTTAATAGCTTTCGGGCCGCTGGGTAGGCGGGAGCTGGGACTCGGGCCAGGCGCTCACCCTGGCCGCGGTGGATTCTCGAACAGCCATACAGGCTGTTCAGATGTTAATGTTAGCAGGCGTTTAGCCGCCTGCGCCACCGCCACCTTTTGGGGTTAGAATTACTTTTACGGTATAATCCAAAACAGTTAATTCTTGGGGCCTTTCCCTTTTTTATCTCTCATACTTTGTGCCAGTCGCTCCTTTGTGTGACATTCCTAACCTGAAGCGACGTGTCAAGAAAGAAAGCGAACGCAAGGAAGGAGTGCAGTTACCAAAGAAGCAACTGTCCCGGTCCCAGGTGACGTCCGCTTAGCCTCAACCTGGCCCCGGCCTGGTGGAATGTGCTCCCGCTTGAGATAAGGGCCCTGCGAGACTTACTGCAGTTTCGCAGGGCCTGTAAATCAGAGCCTGTTCCACCAGGCCTTTGGCAGAGGTGGCAGACGCCCAATTATTTTGGCCTCCCCTGCTGAAAATCGCCCCTTGAAACCGGCCCACGTTACTTCAAGTTTTTATTTATATTATTTTACATCATTCTTGAGGAGCTGCGGCGGCTCAAGTGGTTAAGACGCTGAACTGCAGGCTGTGGAAGGTCAGTAGTTCAGGACGGAGTGAGCTCCCGTCTCTAGTTCCAGCTCCTGCCAACCGAGCAGTTCGAAAGCAAGAAATTGCAAGTAGATAAATAGGGACCACTTCGGTGGGAAGGTAACAGCGTTCCGTGCGCCTTGGTGTTTAGTCATGCCGGCCACATGACCACGGAAACGTCTTCGGACAGCGCTGGCTCTTCGGCTTGGAAACGGAGATGAGCGCCGCAACCCTAGAGTCGGATTCGACTGGCTTTCAAGCAAGGGAACCTTTACCTTTACATCATTCTTGGCAGATGTGCTGGTTACAATACAGTTTTTTGCATTATTGTGAGTCTATAACATTACATTTTCTAGCCACTTATACAGTCTGTACCATCTTTCTTTAAATATATCATCGTCTTTTCCTTGTACAATCAATGTCAATCTATCCGTCTCAGCTATGTCCAACAATTTATATATCCATTCTTCTGTTGGGGGTATTTTATCCTGTTTCCAATACTTAGCAAAAACAATTCGAGCCGACGTTAACATATATGTTATCACATATTGATCTATTTTATTACAGTTATCAGGTAAGATATTTAACAAATACATTTCTGGTAAATAAGGTAACTCTATATTTAAGATTTCATGTATAGCTTTATGTACTTTACGCCAGTAATTTTGTGTTATGCTACACCTCCACCATGTATGATAAAAGGTACCGACATTATATTTACATTTCCAGCAATTTTTTGAGGCATTTGTGTAACACTTAGAGCTATTTTATCTGGTGACCAGTGCCACCTAAAAAACATTTTGTATATATTTTCCTTATATGGTATTGCTCGTGTGTATTTTATTGCTTTCCATATTTTGGAACAATCATCTATATCAACATCATGGCCGAAGTCTTTCATCCAGGAGATCATTGGCGCTTTCACTATTTCATCTTGTAAATAATCAAGTAGGAGGAAATTATACAATGTCTGTATTATCTTATCACTCGAGGATAACCAAATTTTGTCTAAATCTGTTTTTATCGTCCGGAAACCAATTTTCTTATCCTTATTATATCTGGTAGCTAACTGGGTGTTCTCCCACCAGGTCAGTTTTATATTTTGTCCATGCAGTTCTTCCTGGGTTTTCGAAATATTTTTTTTGTCTAGTAGTGTATCATATTTTTCTATTTTGTCTTTTGTAAGTAGAAACCGGCCCATGTTACTGACTTGTTACTGCACTTCAGCAGGTGGGCCCTCTCTCTCTCTTTTTTTTATCATTAACTTTTTATTAAATTTTTAAATTAACAAAAACTAACAGAATACACAACCATTCAAAATACTTAGTAATGATAGTCAAATCACATGAAAACATCTTTTTAACGGAGGACAGTTAAAAGTGTTAAACTGTATCTAATACAGATCTTAAGTGATAGTAACAGCTTTCCTAATTTATCAGAATCACTAGATATTGAGGACTGTAGCATGATCAGTGCACTCAAAGAACAGACGTCTGAAAGATGTAATAGATAATTAAGTGAAAAGTAACTTTAGATAGATCTCTTTGTACGGTCGGACATCATTACATGTTACAAACTCTAGAAATGGGAACCATTTTTGGGAGAAACGAGGTTGTTTGGGAGAAAGTTCAGACTGTCGAATGTGATCCAAAAATTTTTCCATTATAAAGAAATCCCAAACTTTGTTGAACCAGAACTCAATGGCTGGAGCAAGGTGGGACTTCCATCTTGTCGCTATACAGGTCCTCGCTGCCGCTATAAGACTTAAAATTAGATCTTTTTTGATAGAAGGGATAGTTAGGTCGTGCCAAAGATTGAGGAAAAGAACCTCTGGAGTAAATGGAATAGTGTATCCAGTGACACTGCAGGACTTAGAAATTATTGCCAACTAGATTAATTCTCTTTTAACTGTTTTAACTATTATTGTTTATATGATTATTTTAAACTGCCTGGATATTTAGTACTGATGTAACCCACCTTGAGCCCGCTTGTGGGAAGGGTGGGATGTAAACTGAACAAAATAAAATAAAAAGAGGAAGGAAGGAAGGAAGGAAGGAAGGAAGGAAGGAAGGAAGGAAGGAAGGAAGGAAGGGTCTGTCTTTGTGCAAGCTGACTTGACACTTACCTTCCACTCCGTTAAAAGTGGAAGTCACTTCTTGGGTCTCTTTTTTTGATCTCATAGGAGCCCACGAACCATCTTCCTTAAACTGAATCTCGTCACAATCTGTGCAATATTTCAAGATTTCCATGAACAACCTGTGAAAAGACGGTGTTTCGCTGGTTAGAGACACAACCTTTAGACACTGCAAAGAAGAGCCAGCACTTGTTATTTATTAGAACATTCATACCCCCACCTTTCCCCCTGGTTTAGGGCAGCCGAGACCAAGGGTGGGAAAACAGCTGGGTAGCAAAAGTACCCAAGTACCAGCTTCAGTGGCTGAAGCTTTGAACCGTTTTAGTTTCTTAGTGGAAACAACTGTTAGGATTGTTTAAAGCTGAAGATCTGAACTTCATGTGAAAGAAGTCCTTTTCTCCCTTTCTCACAATACAAAAACTTGTGGGCACTCGATGAGATTGCTGAGCAGTCGGGTAAGAACACATTAAAAAAAAGTACTTCTTCACCCAAAGAGTGATGAACACATGGAATTCATTGCCACAGCAGGTGGTGGCGGCTACGAGCATGGACAGCTTCAAAAGGGAATTAGATAAGCATATGGAGCAGAGGTCCATCAGTGGCTATTAGCCACAAGGTATAGATAGGAACTCTCGGTCTGGGGCAAGGGATGCTCTGTCTTCTTGGTGCTTGGGGGGGGGCAACAGTGGGAGGGCTTCCAGTGTCCTGGCCCCACTGCTGGACCACCTGATGGCCCCTGGTGTTTTTGGCCACTGTGTGACCCAGAGTGTTGGACTGGATGGGCCACTGGCCTGATCCAGCATTGGCTTCTCTTACGTTCTTATGTTATGTGGGTTGGTGACAGGACAAGACGCCACCCAGTGAGAGAGACCAGAGCTCAAACACCTTAGCAAGAGCAGCAGCTAGGTTTGAGTCCAGGGGCACCTCAGAGACTGAAAAGGGTTTCAGGGTAGAGGCTTCCTCCAAGAGCCGGAGCTCCACCAGGCCACCCACTTCGCTCTACCCCCCAGCTTGACCTTGACTTCCAAAAGCTACTCACCCGTCGATGATGAGGTGTTCGTAGGGGGCCTTCTTATCACACACAGGGCAGACCCAGGTGGGCTTCTTCTCGTTCATTTGGATATACAGAGTGGCATCGAAACACTGCAGGTGTGAACAGGTCAGGCACCTGCAAGGTATCGCCAGCCGCATTTTACCAAGCTTTAAAAAGAACAACCAACGGTGTCCATTAAAAAAAAAAAGTTATGTTTTTTGAGCAAGACATTCAGAAGAACGCTGTATTTGGAGCACACACACACACAGACAAGACACGTCTCCGGTAAAAAGAAGTGCTTTTTTTCAAAACATGCAACTCTACAGAATACGAGAGACCCCAGGAGCACGCAACAGCAGCAGGCTGCATACTCTGTGTATGAAGACAGCCATTCCCTAACCCTCAAAAAGAGAATCGGCACCATCGGTCCAGCTGCTCCAAGGACAGTCAAATGGCTCACTGTTCAGATCACCATCTGCTGGCAAACACTCCAAAAATTGTTGGGGGGGGGGGGGTGTCTTTGGAAAATGCCTGGTCCTGGCTCACAAGCAAACGCTATGTACACAAGCAGCTTCACAATGCTTTGGCCACTGCTGTCTCCCTCAACCATCCCCTTAAAAGCACCCATCTACCCAGAACCAAGAAGAAGAGAAGATCTGAGCAGCTTACAACCTCCTTTCCCTCCCCACAACAGACACCATGTGAGGTAGGTGGGGCTGAGAGAGCTCTTTCGGGGACTGCTTGCGGGGGAACAAGCTCTGAGAGAACTTGTGACTGGCCCAAGGTCACCCAGCTGGCTGCAAGGTGGCGGAGTGGGGGGATCAAACCCGGTTCTCCCCGATTAGAGCCCACCGCTCTTAACCACTGCACCAAGCTGGCTCACAAAGGGCCATCCCGTGATGAGCCCAGACTACAGTAATCAAGCACGCGTCCAGCCAACTGTCAAGGGAGCCGTCCATGCATAGATATAACGTGCTCATGATACCGCTCATCTTAAGCGGCAAGCAATATTTTCCAGGTAACCAATTAAGAGGCTCGACTTGACAAAAAAAAAGTGGGAAGGGGGTCTTTGGAAACAAGCTCTGTCTAAATGCTAATTGCACCTTCTGCAAAGTTTGCAGCATCCCTTGTTGCCTTGCCAGCTGGCGCAATCAAGGCTTCAGTGGGAACGGTGCTTCCGATCTCAGCCTTATGGCAAAACCCATAAACTGCAGAGCCACTTTGAGAGCCTCTCCCCTCACAGGTTTCATCTTGGAGCAGCTCGCATTTGCCAAGTCAGAGAGTAACTCCTTCTAGAAATGGGGAACGAGGATTAGTAAAGGTAAAGGTTTCCCTTGCTCGAAAGCCAGTCAAATCCGACTCTAGGGATGCGGCGCTCATCTCCGTTTCCAAGCCGAAGAGCCAGCGCTGTCCGAAGACGCTTCTGTGGTCATGTGGCCGGCATGACTAGACGCCGAGGCGCACGGAACGCTGTTTACCTTCCCACCGAAGCGGTACCTATTTATCCACTTGCAATTTCTTGCTTTCGAACTGCTAGGTTGGCGGGAGCTGGGGCCAGAGACGGGAGCTCACTCCGTCACGCGGCACTCAGGTCTCAAACTGCTGAACTACAGACCTTCCAGTCTGCAGTTCAGTGGATTACTGTTGCTAAATTTTGTACAATGCTGGCCAGTTTGTCTGTCCCCACATCCACGTCTGCTCCCAAGTTAAGGTACCAACAAGATAGCACATCAAATGGCGGGAAGATGAGGCCGCTTTAAGAGACCAACCAGCAGCAGAAGGCAGTATATGGGAACTCTTTGGCAAGCCCTGCCCCCACTGACTTTCTTCCCTCTGCTTGCCTCAACCCCATTTCCTCTCTGCTCTGAACGTCTCTCTTCCAGAACGCAGGCTGGCATTTCCCTGTCGTCTGTGCTCTCTGTCCAAATGACAAGTACAAGGAGGAGGAAGCAAGACTACAGCGAGACCTTTGCTGTTCGGGACCCAGAAGATGGGAGAAAGCACAAAGCTACCCACGAGTGCATGGAACACCCTGATAAAAACGCAAGAAAAGGTTTCAAACCAACGGGACCTGGAGCCTCCCTTTATAGTTTCTCTCCCTGCTGAGCTTTATATTGGCACGCATCTTCGGCTGTATCTTCGAGAACCTATGATTCGCTCCTTACACTATGAACCTTGTGGTCTGTTGAAACTGCTGAAATCGGGTTCCACTCACACAGCCGGCAAACTGAAGAAGTCGAAGGAAACGCATCTTCCAAGTATCTAGAATGGGCGTCTTTGCAAAGGCTGTTTGGACAATGTTATGACTAGGTGGACTGCTCCTATCAAGTTACACTGACTACGTGGACTTTATGTCTTATCTTCTAAGGAGGAAATATTGTACCCTGTGCCTTATTATCATTACAGCATGCATTAATGTTGTTGTTGTGACACCACCAACTTTATAATTGTTTAATATATTGTTTTGGCAATCTCTGATGGTGCTTTCTACTAGTGGAATTTGTATATCTGGGAACTCCTGTGAGTCTAGTCCTTTTCCATTGTTGTTTGGATTTCCTTATAGTTAGGGCTATTAAACATTCAAAAGCAGGCAAGAAGATGCATCTGCCTTCACCACTGATGCTGATTCTATGACTCGCGAGGAGTTCAGGCAGATTGTGAGAGGGACGGCAGGAAGGGATGGGCCCGCGCTCGGCTGTCGTGGCCCTTTTTTTTTTTTTCCCTTTTTTCAAATCAGTTTTATTCAATTTTCTCATTAACTCATTAACAACAGGGTTATGCAAGATAGGCCTATACATGCCCACTTTGGGGTCAGGAAGGAATTTCCTTCCAGGCCAGACTGGTCCACGGATCCTGGAGGTTTTTTTGCCTTCCTCTAGGCAAAGAACAAGGGTCACTGGGGGAGGAGCAGTCATGAATTTTCTGCACTGTGCGGGACGTTGGCCTAGATGACCCTTGTGGTACCTTCCAGGGCTACATTTCAGTGACATTATGGATGGGCACGTTTGACAAACGTATGCAGTTGAGCCCTCCAGTACATCTACAAGGTGAGGATATTCACAGAGGGACAAAAGAGAAAGCAGATGTGCCTGCAAAACCAAATGAAAAATCTTGCAGGGTCTCTCCTTAAAAAGCACTGTTTTATCCCCCCTTTGTTTTCTCTTACATGTCTGGGCTGTAAATGCATTCTTCGTGGATTCTTGTACTTATAAAAGAAGTGCTTCTACCTTAGCTCCAGAGAAAAACCTACAGTATCAGGAACGTGAGAAACAGTCACACGTGGCAAAGCCCCATAGCCGTCCGTCGTACTGATTATTTTTGCCTTGTCACAAGATGATGTGGCCAGTCGCAAATTTCTGCCCAGAACTGGCCCTTCATTTGTTCTGAGGACAGACGGGGTTCTTAAAAGCTTACAGGCTCAGAGTACGTTTTTAAAACAATAAAGCCACCTTCAGACTTCCTGGGCTGTGGTCACACACACACTAAATCATCCACTTTCAATCCACCTCCAGTGTACTTTCCAAGTGGATCTTACTGTGTGGACTGGCAAAATCCAGTTGGAAAGTGGATTGAACGTGGATTATTCAGTGTGTGTGTGTGTGTGAGACCGCAGCCTTGGATCGCTAAGACCTCTATTAGAACCCATTGTGCAACTGTCAGAAATTTAATATTAGACAGCCAACAAGAATGGGGGGCGGGGGGGAGGGGGGGCATGGAAGAGTGGCCACTGAAGACCCAAAAAAGGGCATTTCCAAAGATCCTCCTTCACATTCAAGATCACAGGTAGAAAACAAGCCTGCTCCATACGACTAAGTTACCAAAACTCCCCACTGCCCATAGCCAGGCCTACAAGACAAGAAGCCTTCAAAGAACTGGAGCAATTCTCATGTTACACATCAAAGAAGAAGAAGAGGAGAAGGAGGAAGAAGAAGAAGAGGAAGAAGAAAAGGAGGAGGAGGAGGAGGAGGAGGAGGAGATGATTGAATTTATACCTCGCCCTTCACTACCAAAGGGCATCTCAGAGCGGCTTACACTCTCCTTTCCCTTCCCCTCCCCACAACAGACACCTTGTGGGGTAGGTGGGGCTGAGAGAGCTCTGACAGGAAATGCTCTTTTTCAAGAGCAGCTCTGACAGAACTATGGCTTGCCCAAGGTCATCCAGCCAGGTGCAAGTGGAGGAGTGGGGAATCAAGCCCGGTTCTCCCAGGTTAGAGTCCGCGCACTGAACCACGACGCCAAACAACCACACAGGGCTTTGATATATGCTGTGTGCCTCTGGCTTCATGCCGTTTATCCCCATTTACTGCATATCTTCCGACTCTTTGCTCAAGTTTGGCACCGATACAGAAATTAACCCACATTAGAGGGAAGTCACTTCAGGGAAGTTACACTTACTGGACACAGAAGAGAAACTCTCAGGCTGGTCGTCGCTATTTCACTGTCGGGATCAGCTGTTAATTTTTCTTTGACTGCGAGCAGAAAGCAAGGAAGCAAAAAAAACAAAAAAAAACGGAAGTGCTGTGAACAGACAAGTCAACCAGACTAAAGAACAAGGTTCGGAAGAGTTCCCAGTAATGGAAAAGTTCAGTTGTTAGGAGGGGACCAACACTGTGGGCAGAAGCAAAAGGACTGCTACACTGTGAGTCTGCAGTCCAGCTGGCCGACGCAGGAGCAGAAAGGTGCCAAGCATTTGTGCCAATGGCACCTGGACTTCTATTTCAGAGCCCTCACAGGAAGGTGCAGTTCTTCACTCTGCCAAGAAGTTACAGGGTTCAGCCCCATAAAACCTGCAGTGGCACAACTCTCCGGGACTTTCCCCAGAGCTGGGAACGTGCTCAGCTGGTCTCTTGCTCTAGAAACGCTTAGCATTTCAGTTCCTCATCGCATGCAAGAGCAGCGGCCGTGTTGCCAGTTGCAGGAAAGCAACCCTAGTCGGTCAGCCGGCCTGTATGACGAACAGTTAACAGCACAACTCTCCTTTTCTATCAGTAGGAATCTGAATATGGCAGACATACTCAGCGCTCTAGAATGATCCGGGTTCCGTATGCCTTTCGCTCGTAATCTCTGCAGCAGCACTGTCGAAGACAGCTGTTTTACAAGGTAGACCGCCATAGAATAATTCTGGAGAGGAGATAAAAAAGGAAAAGGTAAAGTCAGCTTGCCCCACATGCTGTCAGCTAGGCCTTTCTCAAGCCCTGGCTGCCATGGGCGTAGGGGTGACTCTGGAACGTTAAGTTTCAGTTCTGCTGTATCTTCTATTATCTCTGCATGACCCACAGTGCCTGGTGTAGCATTTCTCCTGGGAAAAGTAGCCCATTACTTTGGCAGGCTTCTACCTGATCCCCGATCGGCCCTGGGCCATCAGGAGGTCTCCCTGAATGATGTACAGCTGTCTATTTCCCGCACTTTTCTTTATTTCTAACACGGAATGGTTAAGATATCTGCATACCCTCAATGTCTGAATAAAACTTTACTCCTCTGAATGAAAGTTGTTGGGAACTGATTGCTGCAGCAGTCTGGCACATGCCTCTTGGATCATCAGGCAACAATGCAATGATTTATTTATTTTTTAAAAGCCATAGATGAAATTCCCTAGGAAACTGCGGCTAGCCCCAAACATGGCTGACGTGTCACTGGCAGGAACAAGCTGCCAGAAGGAGAAGAAACTACTTCTGTTCTTTGTTCAGGCTGAATTTGAAGTGCTGGTTGCTACTTTTAAAGTCCCAAGTGCTTTGCGTCCACTATCTCAAGGACTGCCCCCTCCCATATAGCGCTGGGCGTGGCAGCCAGTATCAGAGCCCCTGTTCCTGCAGACATGGCCATCTGAATTATGACATCAGCGATGGGGGGGGGCTCCTTGACCCCAGCCGCCCAACTTTGGAATGCCCTCCTTAGAGATCCGGGCCTAGCCCCGTCCTTAATGCCGCTCCATGAACTGCTGAAGGGGGGCCCTCTTTTCTTTTTGCTAGGATATAAACACCCTTGTTTTATTTTATATCCAACTGAAATGACAACATGCTACAATATTGTGTAACAAAATTAGATGAAAGTGTTCGCCCAGACAATTTCCCCACAATATTCTGTATCTATATACCTATAGAGTATAAGAAACGTTGATATGTTGATGTGTTGCTTTTAGAGAAAGTTAGCAAAACTCCATCATCAGTGCAATTAGTTTAAAAGTTAAGATAATAACAAATTAAATGCTGAAACTTATACAATACTGCAAAATGTTATTAGTAATATAACACGCTTTAACCTTGACCTTTTCTTTATTCTGTATCTCTTTGAAAATCAATAAAAATCTTATATTTAAAAAAAAAACAACATGAAATTCTATGCAATGTCACAATGCCCACCTTCCTTTTGCATTGCCTGATGGGTCTTTGGAAGAAAATAAGGTGGGACTTAACCAGAATTGCCCCCCCCCAAATTGGCCATGCTCAGCTTTCAAAAACTGAACACAACTGGCAAATGAAGGCAGTTGAAGATTCAGTTTTCCAAGGTTCGGTTTGTGCACAAAAAGTAGTGAGAGGAGGCAGCAGCTTTTACATAATGGTGAGAGTATTTGTCTCTCATCCCTTGTGAGAGTTGAATTATGAGAAAGCAAACTGGTAAAGCCTTTGGAAAGCCAAGTGGCTTTAAACGGCTGACATTAGAGGTTTGCAGGACAGATGAGAGAGGAATAAATGCTTTTCAACGGAATGGGAGACTGCTTAAAACCACACTTTTAAAAAGTCCATTAAAACTAATTAGACTCATTTGCTACTGCTAACATTAAAAAAACCCACAATTCATCAAGAGCAAAACAAGTCCATTTTCCTACACAAAGTTTAAAATTTTAAAAGAGAGCAAAAAGGGCTAATTTACAATTACAATGGGTGTTTCGTTAATAATGAATCGTTAATGAACACATTGCTGACTGAGCTTTCCTCTGCACAGGTGTCGAGTTTTAATCATGTAAGAACATCTGAAGAGCCCTGCTAGATCAGACCAGTGGACCATCTAGTCCAGCATCCTGTCTCACACAGGGGCCAACCAGTTCCCCTGGAGGGCCAGTAACAGGGCAGAGAGGCTGAGGCCTTCCCCTGAGAAGAACATCAGAAGAGCCTTGCTGGATCAGACCAGTGAGGGTCCATCTAGTCCAGCCTCCCGTCTCACACAGGGGCCAACCAGTTCCCCTGGAGGGCCAACAACAGGGCAGAGAGGCCGAGGCCTTCCCCTGATTCACTTACTAGCAGTCCTAATTGAGGTTTTTAAACTGTGGCCTTTTATGTGTTTTAAAAATCATTATTTATTCCGTAAACCACCTTGAGTTCTGCCAAGGTAGAAAGGGGGGGGGGAATGGATTTTTGAAATAAACTAAAATAAGATACTGCTCCGCAGAAATGCCTTCAGGCAGCGGAACAATGTAAGCTGCTTTGGGTTCCTCGTTGGGGGGGGGGAAAGCAGGGAATAAAATACCAAAGATAACAAAGATACTGTCAGCTCGCTGCCATAAAGGCTGGTGGGCAGTGTCCCCTCTAAGTTGAGTTAGTGTGAGCCAGCTCACAGTTTTTTAGCTTCTGGCTCACACATTTTTGTCTTAGCTCAGGAAGGAGGGCTCCAGAGCAAACTGATTTATGCAGGAGCCAAATGGCTCGCTCACAACTTTACTGCCAGTAGATCACAAAGTAGAATTTTTGCTCACAAGACTCCACAGCTTAGAGAGAGCATTGCTGGTGGGGGGGACGGGGACCGTTCACTCCTTGGAATGTACTTTCGGTTTCCTGCTTGCCTCACTGATGCTCCCTTATCTGTATGTTTTATGTGCTTGGCCTTGAATGCTGCGCTGTAACACCTTCCCTGGGAAAGTGGGACTGCTACATTCTGGTGGCCCCTCTTCTTCCCTCACTGGCTCTATGCCACCCAGTGACCCCCTTTGAACAATGTATATCTGTTCACACACACCCCCTTTATGCTTTAGTCTTAACACAGTTCCTGAAGTAGATGCCCTGCCAATACTGCTTCAATAAACTTTCCTTCTGACGAAGCGAGTTGTTGAGTCTGATTGCTGCGGGAGTCTAACAGATACATACATAGATATGAGCAAAAGAGTCAGAGACTCTTGCAGCTCTTCCCACCATAACTGGTGGGTCAGAGGTGAAGCGCCATGGAACATCTCTGCAAAAAAGCATACCCTTCTGACAGACCTACCAACCCCCCCCCCCCCCCCCCCCACACGCGGACTACCTCTACATCATCACTTCATTATTCTCCAACATTTGCTAATATTCTCTAATTCCATTATTATAAATTGCTACACACTCCAATGTTAATTTTACCATATCAGCTTAATCTTTAAGTCCATTCTCATTGTACCAATCATATAGCCTCTTCCATGTTTTTTGAAATGTCCATTTCTTTGCGCCTCTCATTTCCATGGTTAATTTGTCCATTTCCGCAGCTTCTAGTAGTTTATTAATGTATTCTTCTTTAGTTGGTGTTTCTTGGGTCTTCCATTATTTTGGCGTACAATATCCTTGCGTTGACATATATACAATCAAGTATCTATCCGTTTCTTTAAACTCTTTCGGAAAGATATTTAACAAAAACAATTCAGGAGTAAAGGGGATGTTACATCTTACTATTTTTTCCATCATACAGTGTACCCATTTCCAAAACTGTTTGGAGACATCACATAGCCCACCACATATGATAAAATGTGCCTACCTTGTTTTTACACTTCCAACATTTATATGAACATTTACTACTTTGCTTTGCTAACCTATCTGGAGTAACATACCATCTATAAAACATCTTATACATATTTTCTTTATAAGCAGCAGCATTAGTCAACCGGCCTGGTACTCACCCTTCCTATTTCTGCAGTCCACGAGACGATGATTGTGTTTGGTACTGTCGTGGAGAGCCGCACGAGGGAGGTGATGTTGATTGGTCTGCTGGGCCGCTTTGGTTCAACCCCGTTTTTGGTTGGCGGGAGATAGCCCTGGAACATCACCACAAGTAACCATTAGAAGAGAAGAAGAAGAAGAAGAAGAGAAGAGATTGGATTTATACCCCATGGCCCTTCACGACCCAAAGGTGTCTCAGAGCGGCTTACAAACTCCTTTCCCTTCCCCTCCCCACAACAGACACCCTGTGAGGGAGGTGGGGCTGAGAGAGCTCTGACAAAAACGGCTCTTTTTCAAGAACAGCTCTTATCAGAACTACGGCTTGCCCAAGGTCATCCAGCCAGATGCAAGTGGAGGAGTGGGGAATCAAACCCGGTTCTCCCAGATTAGAGTCTGTGCCCTTCACCACTACACCAGACTGGCTCTCATTACAGCAATACTGGACGCAAAAAGCGCACTGTTTAAATTTTTTAAAATAATTTTTATTAAATATAAAACCATTGATATGGAGAATCTCAAGCAATACAAACTATTTAACATTGATAATATTCTTGATCTTCGATTCAGTATATCTAAAACTTAACTAATTAAAACTCTTTTCTAATAATACAGCTGGGTTAGCAACCATCTTATATAAATATAAGAATTTGAGTTCAACTAGCTAATATTTATTGATCAAAATTAAAACATACTCTAAATCTGGGGTTTATAGAATAAACACTTCAGATGAAACTAAATAATCAGGAAAAATTTCATTCTGCGCCATGTAACTTATGACCGAGGTCCCCCGGTCCAAAACAGTCCAGTGGCACCTTTAAGACCCAAGTTTTATTCAGGTACAAGCTCTCCCTCCTCTGTGATGACAGATCTGCACGTCCCCGTCCCCCCCAATAGCTGGCAATCCAAAACAGTCCAGTGGAGCCTGAGCGGTGGGTGTTGCCTTCTGACACACTTCCGGTGATGTGTGGCATATGCAAATAAGTTATGCTAATGAGTTATGCTAATGAGTTCCTGCACCTCTGTTTCTACAAAATGACCCCTGAATACAGCTATAATACCCCAGCAAGTAGGTATCCAGTTGATACTTAAAAATCTCCAATGACAAAGAATGCACAAACGGCAGGTGAAAACTGTAAGCGGAAGCCAGTGTGGAGTGCGTTTACCCCTTTCTGCGTGACATCTATTCTATCTTTGTGCAAATCGGACTCTGGTTTGGGCAGATGATTCAAGTGAACTCACTGGCAGTAATGCTGATATCCCAAAACATATTGCCCCCCCCCCCCCAAAAAAAAACATACTTAGATTAGAGCATGTTCACATTTGTGGAGATACTCACAGGTAAGCTACATGGTTTCCCATTAACTTTCACACAAAGGTTTGGTGGGAAATGATCTTCCTGCGGGCAACTGGTTTCGGATAAGCAGAATCTAAAGACAAGAACACGAGTTTAGTCACCCAGGGCATGAAATTCTGTGTAAGCCCTTTAGGAATCTCAGATGACACACAGCTATCTCAAAGCAGGCTGCTTTCTAAGTGGACCATAAACAACGGGAAATGAACTGGCACCCATTGAGACAGATGTGGATCCTGACGTTCAAGATCACTCATATGCTGCTTCCAAAAAACAAATATAATATAAGGCCGACTAAAGTTAATAAACCAAAATAAACTCAAGTAAATAAATACGACAAAGCGGACCCAAAGTTGGGTGGAAAGGTGGCCAATAAATGTTTTAAATAAGATAAACCGTGGTGCTTTCATTACACAGGTCTGGGTAAAGGTAAAGGTTCCCTTGCTCGAAAGCCAGTCGAATCCAACTCTAGGGTTGCGGTGCTTCTCCGTTTCAAAGCCGAAGAGCCAGCGCTGTCCGAAGACGTTTCCGTGGTCACGTGGCCGGCATGACTAAACACCAAGGCGCACGGAACGGTGTTACCTTCTCACCGAAGTGGTACCTATTTATCTCCTTGCAATTTCTTGCTTTCGAACTGCTCGGTTGGCAGGAGCTGGAACTAGAGACGGGAGCTCACTCCGTCATGCGGCAACTCGGGTCTCAAACTGCTGAACTACCGACTTTCCACAGCCTGCAGTTCAGCGTCTTAACCACTTGAGCCACCGCAGCTCCTACAAGTCTGGGACTGCCATGTAAATCTTACTTTGCGAATGATTGCTAAATTAGTAAGTTTCAGGGGGCTGCCATCTTGGTCTGCAGCAAAACAGCTAGAATTCAAGTCCAGCATTACCCTTAGAGACCAACCAGATTTTCATGATATTTATTTTATTAAAAATATTTTTTAGCTGCCATTCTTCTTTACAGAGCTCAACACAGCTTACGATTTTAATAAAATACATAAAACTTTCGAGAGTCAACATTCCCTTCATCAAATGAGAGCTTATATCCAAAAATCACGTTGGGTCCCTAGGTGCTGCTGGACTTGAATCTAGCTAAATTAGTAAGGGGTACACCAAATTCAAGGAGCTGCGGTGGCTCATGTGGTTAAGACGCTAAACTGCAGGCTGTGGAAGGTCAGTAGTTCAGCAGTTCGAGACCCGAGTTGCCACATGACGGAGTGAGCTCCCATCTCTAGTTCCAGCTCCTGCCAACTGAGCAGTTCGAAAGCAAGACATTGCAAGTAGATAAATAGGTACCACTTCGGTGGGAAGGTAACAGCGTTCCGTGTGCCTTGGTGTTTAGTCACCAGCCACGTGACCACGGAAATGTCTTCGGACAGCGCTGGCTCTTCGGCTTGGAAACGGAGATGAGCACCGCAACCCTAGAGTCGGATTCAACTGGCTTTCGAGCAAGGGAACCTTTACCTTTACACCAAATTCAATAATTCAAAGTCTGGAATTTGGGAGGACAAACTGCCGGCGACCACAGCAGAAATCTTTGAACACACAAGATATTTTATTTATTTATTCGATTTATAACCCGCCCTACTCGGTAAACAGGGTTTAGTGCGGGGGACAACATTTTCAAAGATATATAACACTTTATAATTGAATTAAAATCAAAATAAGCTTAACAATTCAGTTAACGATTACAAGTGACAATCTCCGATGGTGCCAGCGAACACACAATTCGGTAACCTTTCCCGATGGGGAAGAAGGAAGGAAGGAGCCAGGCTAGCTAAAAAAATAAATAAAATGTTGCTGCCCTCAATTGTAAGCCTGGCGGAACATCTCTGTCTTACAAGCCCTGCAGAGAACAGAGTTAGGTCCCGCAGGGCACAGGTGTCATTCGGAAGAAAGTTCCACCAGGTCAGCGCCAGGCCCAACAAAGCCCTGGCTCTGGTCGAGAACAGCGCCACAGAGAGGACAGAAGTCCCATTTCCTGAATGGCAGAAGGAGGAGTAGGAGTAGGAGGAGTTTGGATTTATACCCCACCCTTCACTCGGAGTCTCAGAGCGGCTTACAAACTCCTTTCCCTTCCCCTCCCCACAACAGACACCCTGTGAGGCAGGTGGGGCTGAGAGAGCTCTTGACAGAAACTGCCCTTTCAAGAACAGCTCTTGTCAGAACTATGGCTTGCCCAAGGTCATCCAGCAGCTGCAAGTGGAGGAGCAGGGAATCAAACCCGGTTCTCCCAGATCAGAGTCCGCGCACTCAACCACTACACCAAACTGGCTCTTTTGGTCGCTTATAAAGTAGAATTTTTGCTCACAAGACTCCACAGCTTAGGGGGAACATTGGTTGGAAGGGACCTCCAGGGTCATCTAGTCCAGCCCCCTGCACAATGCAGGAAATCCACAAATACCTCCCCCCACACAAACCCCCAGTGACCCCTGCTCCATGCCCAGAGATACCTATGCGAATAAAAAGGAATGCATGCGTAAGCCTGCACTTTCCACAGAAATACACGGGAGAACCCGTATGGCATGATAGCTTCATACGTGTATCACAGACCCTATGGATCAGACCCAGGTGGGCCGCTGTGTTGTTCTGAAGCAGAAGAACAAAGTTGGAGTCCAGTGTAGAGATGTGAAGGCCTGGGGAAAAACTGGAAAAATTTGGGGGGGAAACAGTTTTTCCCGTTTTTTTCCTGAAGCCTTTTTGTTTTTTTCCGAAAAATTGAAAAAAGAAAAGAAAGGAAAAAAAATTGATTATGGAATGTTTTATTTTAACATGATGAATAAAATATTCTAAGACAAGGTGTTCAAATATTTTCCAAATCATACCATATATATATGGTATCAGATTGATCTAATTTCTGTGCACTGAGGACAAGCAAGTCCTAGGTTACAAACTAAACTCTCCAATGCAAGAACAAGATGCATTTCTTCCTTTAGGAGATGCTATTGTCACGAGAAAAGAAAAAGGTTTCAGTTTTGTTTTTGCATGTGGACGGGTATTCTGTTTGTAATAACTGTTTGGATACACTATATTTTTAATATGCTAGTTGTGATAATTTCATGCCAAGTTAAAATGTCCATAGTCATATTTTATGTTCCTAAAGTAACAGAATGACTTTCAATCTAGTAAAGACAAAAGAAATGCTAATGTAGCATTTTTTCAATTTTTCTGAATTTTTCCTTTTTTTCCGGAAAAAAATGGGTTTTTTCCTGAGTTTCAAAATTTCCAGAAATTTTACATCTCTAGCTCCAGTGGCACGTTTAAGACCAACAAAGTTTTATTCTGGGTACAAGCTTTTGTGTGCATGCACCTGAGCAGCAGAAAGCACTTATGGCCATGACTTTCAGGTGCACACAGAGTCACACACACACATACACACACATGAAAAATGCAAAAGAAAAAGAAAGGTCAGGCCCCAAGTTGTGCAAGAGACAGAGAGAGTGACATGAGCATGTGCAAAACATTTCTCAAATCCAAAAATAAAAGTGATTACATGCCCCACACAAACTTAACTACAGCCTATGAATAAATATATGGTTGAAAAACCAGGGGAAGGAGAGGAGGGTTAAGTGTGTATTTTTGCCCAGTCTCTTGCTTTGAGGTTGTTATAATGGCTTATGGGCACAGCGAGCAACCAATCAGCATGCACGTTCACTGCAGAAATATCTAAACGGTACGTGGAACATTTTGATTTAAATCTGCCTCTTTCTTGATGAACTTAATTGCTGATTTAAACCAGCCAATCTATCCTGGGAAGGAGGGGTTAGAGAGAAAAGCAAAAGTGAATCAGGGGCTTGAAAGCGGAGGAACGTGTCAGACTATTTAGCAACTAATTTTATTTATATCCTAGTTTCCTTCTCCCCAATAGGCACCCAAAGCAACTTACACCAATGGAGGGGCTGTGGCTCAGTGGAAGAGCCCCTGCTTTACGTGCAGAGGGTCCCAGGTTCGATCCCCGGCACTGCCAGTTGAAAGGACCAGGGGATGTGAAAGACCTCCACCGCAAGCCCTGGAGAGCTGCTGGCGGTCTGAGTAGACAATACTGACTTGATGAACTAGTGGTCTGATTCCATTTAAGGCCGCTTTAAGTTGTGACATCTTACAGGGGAGGGGCCGTGGCTCAATGGTAGAGCATCTGCTCTGCATGCAGGAGGTCCCCGGGTTCGATCCCGGGCAGCTCCAGTTAAAAGGACCAGGTGGGAGGTGATGGGAAAGACCCTTCTCTGTCTGAGACCCTGGAGAGCTGCTGCCAGTCTGAGTAGACAATACTGATGGAGAGATGGTCTGATTCAGTATAAGGCAGCTTCATGTGTGTTCACCACCATCCTTCTCCCCGCCCCCCCAAATCTGATCCTATCAACCACCCTATGAGATAGGTTCGGGAGACAGAGAGACTTGCCCCAAGGTCACCCAGTGAGCTCCCGTGGCGGAGCAGGGATTTTGGTCTGGGCCTCCCACATCCTAGTCTCAGCGAATCCCAAGAGGCCCTTCCTTGGTACATGAGTGCAGGCAGATGCAACCATGCACAGGCCCGACACCCAGAAGCAAGGACAGGATTGATCAAGGCAGCAGTCGATTACTTTGCCACAGACAGTTTTTCTTCTTCCATTTCTCCCCCTTCCTTGCTCCTTCCCAGGTCTAGCAAGAAAGAGAACAAAATCACGCAAAGGAAGCATGCACGCACGCACGCACACACGCCAATATCCTCAACGTGCATTATACACGCAGGCTGCAAAAATTCAGCTAGTCACAGAACTCATTTCAAGTAACTCTGGACTGCAGAATTAACCGTACCTCAGCTGGACCTGCACGGTGAAGTCACACTTGGTTCCAGAAATGTCCCTGGCAAAGACATAAGACGCTGATTACAGTTGGTACATTAAAAAAAACAAAACCCACAGAACTTGAACATGCGAAGCCTACGAAGCAGAACAGACGAGTGCCAACTGGTGTTAACACATTGCCCAAACCTAAATACATTTCGGGAACAGACCAGCCTAGTCAGGGACTGTACCACTCGGTGCAGTCCGTTCTGTTCACGCTCCCAGCCTGACCCTTCACATTAGCCCCGTGCAGAGGCAGACGTCAAGGACAAGCTGCAGAGGGAGAACGAGGCCTTGGTGCACAGCTCCTGAGCTTCCATACTAGGGCATCTGGCTGGCGAAATGGGGTGCCGAAGGAGATGGATCTGCGGTGAGATCCAAGTAGACAAGCCTGTTTGCTGACAAGTCGTGGCTGCTTCCTGTGACTGGTCCCACTTTGACCGACTTGAAGGGAGGGCCTGTGTCTCAGTGGAAGTGCATCTGCTCAGATAAAACAGATAGAAGGAAGTCCTTCTTCACCCAAAGGGTGATTATAACAATTCACTGCCACAGGAGGTGGTGGCAGCTACAAGCACGGACGGCTTCAAGAGGGAATTGGATAAGAATTTGGAGCAGAGGTCCATCAGTGGCTATTAGCCACAAGGTATAGACAGGAACTCTCAGGCTGGGGATGCTCTGTATTCTTGGTGCTTGGCGGGGGGGAGGGCAACAGTGGGAGGGCTTCTAGTGTCCTGGCCCCACTGGTGGACCTCCTGATGGCACCTGGTATTTTTGGCCCCTGTGTGACAGAGTGTTGGACTGGATGGGCCACTGGTCAGATCCAACATTGGCTTCTCTTATGTTCTTATAAGAGGGAATTGGAGAAACATACGGAGCAGAGGTCCATCAGTGGCTATTAGCCACACAGTATAGATAGGAACTCTCAGTCTGGGGTAAGTGATGCTCTGATTTCTTTGTGCTTGGGGGGGGGGGTCAACAGTGGGAGGGCTTCTAGTGTCCTGGCCCCACTG